TGATGTTCTTCCATATCTTTTGACAACAAAGTTAAAGATCTTGTCACCTTCAAAAGCAAATGGATTACAGTGATCCAGAACGGCAGATTTGATCTTGTCAACTGCAGTGTGATCCCAACAAACGACTCCTGGTGAAAGGTCATGATGTTCTTCCATATCTTTTGACAACAAAGACATGTAGCCAGCCCATCCAGGATTCATGCTAGCTTCTTTCTCATCATCTGTTCTGGCTATCATGGAAGCAACAACCCAGCCAAAGTGTGTCAAGTGATAGGACATTCCAATACCTGCTTTGTTGGTTATAAATTCTTTGTCTTTTGAATGTGGATGGTTTCTTGGATTTGGTTTTTCACAGTGAAGCATCTTGGTATGGTAGGGAGCCACAGAGAGACTGTTCGCTTTAGTGATACTCAAGGGGTGGTGATATCATCTGTCCAGTTGCTCCAGTGCTCTGATATACAGCAGTAATAGTCCCATGTGTTGTGCCTTTGCCATCATGAGTGTCCTCAAAAAAGACAAAGGAACCTTTCCTCAGAAATGGTGGAACATATAACCCTTGGAACTGTCTGGTGTTCTTCACGACTGAATTGGCCAGAGCTGTTTCCAACATTAGAGAACGTCTGTATGGAATGCAATAGTTCTGTGCACTGAGTAGATCCATGATCATCTTGTTTCTTGTGTCATGGTGGACTGTAAGGCCTAATCCTATTATTTGAGGATTTTCTCTTCCATTGTGAGATCTGAATGTTTCACATTCTCTTTTCTGTGTATATTTAACTTGTCTTCTTGACTTGAAACCATACATTATGTTCTGGCATACAGTCAGTACTGTTCTGTCAACAAGGCTGGCTTTTGCTTCATTCTGAAGGTTATCAACAGTTCCCACCATAATCCAGGGTATCAGAGTATACAGCTCGATTGGGACGTCATTAATGTTACTTGTAACAGATAGGGTATTGTTGATTTTGTCATCTCAAAGGCTTCTATACTCCTTGACCAATGGCATTGTAGACGACAGTGTAAATGGTGTGGATGTTTCCTCATGGAGACCTGTTCCTTTACTTTTACGTCCTCTCTTTTTTGAAGGTGTGGAATCATCAAATATTCCTTTCTCTTTGCTGTATTTGATCTCTGTTGGTAGCATTGGAGTAGCAAGTCTGATGCCAGGCATCCCTGTGAGATGATAAAGTCTCTCTGTCACAGCCTTCAAGTCTTCGCCATATACCGGTATATTCACCATCATGGACATTCGCTCGTTCCTTCAAAACATGGAGTAAGCGGTCGTAAGAATCCAATCTTGGTTGCGATACTAGTATGGATGATCCATGATTGGCTTTCTTTTGGGACAGAATACAAAGATTCCAATCTGTAGTGACTGATGTTGATATCTTCTGACTCACTTGCCCAAGCTGTGGTAATGATTTTACATTTAGGTTGAAATTTTACTGAAACAAACAATACAGATCATAAAGTAAAAATAGAATAAAATAGAAACAGTATTTTTTTTGGTTTTTATAATCAAACATCCTTTATTAAAAATATTTCTTTGTACATTGTTTGGCAAAAACATTAAAATAAACACCTCTAAGATTTCAAAATTGTGAAAATATTACAATACTTCAATATATTAAATTTTGTAAATCCAATAGAATCCCTTTTCTTCACCAAAAAGAATAATATGAAAGCATTAAAAATGCTTTCAAACGTTATGTCCAGAAATATTTTTAAAAAGTGTTTGTGCTCTATAGTATAAAAAAAATCATTTCAAGTCTTCATACTAGAATTTGCTATTATTCATAGTTGTTAGGAAAACATTACTAAAAATGTTTTATGTATACTACAATATCTTATGGGTTTTATTTTTCAAGTGAAATTACAAAAAGAATTAACGTATCATCTGAGGTCTGCAAGCATTTCAGTGGGGCCCTTTTAAGGATGAATGGAAAATTATTTTTAATGCACGCATATAAAATTGTTACATGTACGTTTAAATGACAGGCATGCTACGTAAAAGTATATAAATTATCTATGGAAAATTTAGGAAACAAGAATAATTGTAATATTTTACAAATGTAATTATTCTGAATCCCTTTATAGAAACGGGCCCCAAGGTATGAGACAGCATATAACTTTTATGTAGCATAACTTGAGCTAAATAGGATAGTTTACACTAAAATTCAAATTTGCTGAAACTGAATATACGCTAGGAAGCATTTCTAGTTAAGTTCAACATGTAGCATATGGTTGCAATATACTTTTAATGAAAAAGATCAAGCCTATGTTGTCAGTCATGTTATTATGAAGAAATCATTGCCATTCAATTTCTCAATAATTATCAATGAACCAACATAGATAGCACATGTCATAATATTCTATAAATATTCACACACCTATTTAGATGAATTTCAGCGGGTCTTGGTTGATGATAAGCCTTCCTTGATGATGGAAAAACTCTTCTTATCAGAGTTGAAAGGTCAATGTCACAAGGGGAGATAACTCATTTTCATAATATTTACCTACAACTAGTCATTATTGCTGTCATTTACACTGACATCAAGTGGTCAAGTTTGAGCGTCATTTATTCGCAAACTATGGACCCTAAAAATTGGAAACATTGGTTTTTATGTTGAGTAGGCTCTATTGTATGTAAAAATATATACAGATGCAAATCTCCAAAAACAATTAACGAAAAATTTAAAACGTACACAATACAATGGACTATTTCTTTGACTTTAGTACTATGCATTAGTACTTAACAAAGACGGGTTTCTAGAGTATGTATAGCCTAATAAATTAGAATTGTATATAATGGTCCTCGTGCCCACATTTGGCACCAAATTACCCTTTGCTTACCAAACATAATTCATAATAAAAAGTGGCTAAAACTACTCCAGTAAGTAGGAACACAAACAATTTATCAACTACAGCAAACAAAATATTTGATGCAGTATTTAGAATAAGGGTAATTCTACCCTATATTTTTATGTTCAGGGCTTACTCTAGGAATAACATGGACCCTTTATGTGAAAATTTCAGATATCCCAGAGATATACCCACACTTGCCCATACAGCCAGTGTGAAAATGCCCCATTGTATTTAAGAATGTGGGCCTTTTTTCAAATGTAGGGGCTAAAAGCACAAGGCCACCCTAGAATTATTATGTTTTGGGGGTTGTCAGCAAAGGTACTGCAGAAATGATACCCAGCCCCAGGTACCTTTCTGGTAATATTATGCACTGTTGTCATAAAAAAAAAATTAAACAGCACTATTGTGCATATTCGCCATAAGACTTGTCAAACTAAAAACGGTTTGGAGCATGGTGTAAATAGACAGCCCTGTATGTTTATTGCAATGCAACAGCATTAGAAATTGGCACTAGTCCTGTAGTCCTTGCCAAACTGCCCAATGGTTAAGGTATCATAAGGACTTGTAGAAATTTGCCCTTTATAAGGCTTTTGCTACTTGTTATCATTATAAGGACTAGTGGACTAAAAATGTTAGTTTCTACCCCTGAATGCAAGGGTTTAATTGTGTACTGTATACAGAAAGGTACCTAGGATACATTTCTGTGGTACCTTTATGAACAAGTTTTATATTCATTTGTCCATGAACCACTCTTACTATTTAGTACTACTTTAAGTTCTCTGAAGTATGAATGATTGGTTTATTCAGAAATTGTGAAATGGAAGAAATATTATCCTTGAGAAGTCATCATACAGGGAATTAATTACAAATTAACATATGGTGCCCATTAATTGCAAATCAGCATTAACATACAACTAATTGAAGTCAATTTCAGTTTATAAACATCACCATGATCATTGATCACCCTAAGGGATTGGACATGTATTATTGAATGGGGTTAGTCAGAGGGAATCAGCGGCCGAGGTCACCAAAACGATGGCAGTCTCTAGGAGAGTCATAAAACTTATACACATATTTGGGGAGAGTCATGAAAAAAATGACATTTCATAATAAAATATAAAGTGCTTTTGCACTTTGTCTTTTCAGGGAGGGTCATGAAGTAAAATGTACGAGGATATAGGAGAGGTCATCGAAAAATATGACAAAATTGAATGCAGCAGTAGAAACTAACATTTTTAGTACTAATCCTTATAATGATAACATATAGCAAAACCAATAAAAATGGCAGATTTCTACTAGTCCTTATGAAACCTTAATTATTGGGCAAATTGGCAAGGACTATAGGTTAGGTTAGGTTATTTGTTGAAATTGTTGTATAACGCTGCACTCAGCAATATTCTAGCTATATGATGACAGTCTGAAAATAATCGAGTCTGGACCAGACAATCCAGTGATTGACATCTTGAGCATCAATCCACACAATTGAGATACGATGACATGCTTCAACCAGGTCAGCGAGCCTGGCCACCCAATCCCGTTAGTCGCCTCTTACCACGACATAGTTGCAAGGATTACAGGACTAGGGCCAATTTCTAACGCTGCTGACATGCATTTGGGGAGGGCAATTATTTTATTTACATTAGGACAAATTACAAAGTGCTTGCTGAAGCATAAAGAAGATGGCCCATCTGGCTAGTCCAATTTCTCCCCCTATGAATAGTTAGGTAATATTTTAATTGGACGCTACTCGTGAATCATGTAATTTTGATGAGAAAATATTTAGGGGGGATGAGGTTTTGTGAATGGTTGCCATTTTGTATTGTTCTTATTTACTCATAAATCACCATGAAATGAGGCAAATGGAAGCCAAGATTTAATCTCAGAGTGCAGAAAAAGGCATTTCAAGGGTGAGGAGCCCTAACATTTTAAAAGCCCCGCTACATGCCTTAGCAGCCCCTCAATGGCCTCCACCATTGAGTTGTAGGCCAGTTGGTTTGGAGAAAGGCCAGAAAGTTTTAAAAGGAACAGATTTGTTAAATCTATGCCTTGTATATTAGGACTTAAGTAGCGATATGTCTTGATGTGAGGAAAGCTTATCGTGAGACCCTAATAACTGTTCCATCCTTTGTTTCCAGCTCCAGCACGAGAAAAGAAATTGAAAAAAAATGCTCAGCATTACCCTGGAAGAGATAAGGACCTGCCTAAGTCTGTAGTGTCAGCTAAAACAGGGAGGTTGATTAAACATGATAAAATGCAACTGGTGATCAGACCCGGCAAAAGGTTGGGTGACTGCAAGAAAGCATGCCAACATGAGAACCTCATAAAATGTAACTTCTACAGATTGATGGAAACTAGAAGGTCTTGCTTGCTCATGACATCGAGAGGGGTTAAAGGTAAGGTCACAAGTCCCTAAATTTTACTGGCCTTGGACCAGCAATATGTTAATTTCAATCGTGATATTTAACATATCGGATTCTTCTCTTGACTTTCAGTTAGGGGAGCTAAGAAGCATGGTATCAAATTTAACGATGATGCTAATGGTTATATTTTCAGTCAATATATCTGAATAGTAAACTGTCCTATCATCAATCTTGACATGAAATATTTCTTTTAAGGCTTTAGAATGGACATGTCATCACTGATTGGTTACTTTGTTACAACTGATTTGACGATTGATATTGTTGGCAAAATATTGATTTTATTTACAGCCACTGTTAGAAAAAAGCACCTGCCTGTAGGCCCGTGGTTGGTAGAGCTTGAGTCAGGGACCATATTTTCAAATTTGTATGGGTCCTTAGCCTGCAATAAATTTTTGTGACGATTTATTTCTCACAATAAGCTACAGTTTTTGTAACAAGGGCCTGAAGAGATTAGTCAGAGCCAGCAGCTTCTAAAGTCTGTAGGTCCTGATGGCAGCCTGGCAATTATTTTAATTTCATACACTGTTTACAGGCAAATCCGATGACCCCAAAAAAGGTCAAAAGGACAAGCAACTTAAAAAGCTTATGAAGAATCAGCAAGATCATACAAAGGAGCTAAATGAGATTACAAAAATATTGCAAAGGATTGGTGAAGGTAGATATGGGAACATGAAGAAGATTCAGGAAGATGCAAGGAAGATGAGTGAAAGAATTAAGAAGATTCTAAAGGGCGAGGGGAAGATGGGAACAGTTATCCTTGAACTGTCAACCAAACTGAACAAAGTATCCACAGATGTGGCATCAGTCAAGATGGCAAATGAAGAACTGACCAGACAGCTGTCCAGTTCTGATTCCAAATCCCCGATTGTGGATAGGAAGTTGGCACATCTAGTGAGGGATGTGGCAGAACTCAAAACAAGAACAGAGGTAAAGTGCTCATTGTATGTATTGTATAATATACTGAACCAAATTAAAAACTTCACAATCCTAAAATTTTAACATATTGACCAGTTATCATTGTGGGCCCTTATTGTGTATTTAAACAGTAATGGCCACGTATTGTCTTCAGATAACACCCGTTTTTGTGCAGGTGGATTGATCAAAACCATGTGCACAGCACTATAGTGGCAAAAGTGGTTTTTCATGTGCAAATGGTCACGTGGCCATAATACCGCACATGTTTTCAGCAATACTTGTTAGCAGTCATTAACAAAAAAAGAAAAACACAACAAAACAAAATTCTTTACGGCCATTTGTCATGCCACGCCTTTCAAATGTGCAACGTGAACGTGCCATTGGCATGTTGCAGATGGGAACGTCCGTAGCTGGAGTCGCAAGGACGATTGGTTGTAGTCGATGGACTGTTTATGATTTACAGACGCGTCTACAGCAAACGGTACCACCGCTGATCGCCCTCGGCAAGGTCAACCACGTGTGACGTCACATGCAGAGGATTGTCAGATTGTCTTACATCACCTCCGTAACCGATTTTTGACGGCTACATCAACCAGAAATGAACTGTTTAGGGGTAGACTGAGTGCGCAAACTGTTCGAAACCGTCTGAGAACTGCTCACCTTAAAGCACGACGGCCATACTGCGGGCCGATTCTGACTAAATTACACAGACGTCAACGTCAATTGTTGGCACAGCGACACTTGCGATGGACTCAGAGGAATTGGAATCAAGTCGTCTTCAGTGATGAATCCTGATTTAATCTTTGATTTGCTGATGGTAGGGCGAGGGTGTGGAGGCGCCGTCGTGAACGTTACGCCCAGTGTTGTGTACAGGAAGTTGACAGATTTCGAGGCGGAAGTGTCATGGTGTGGGGTGCTTTCTGTGGCAATGCATGTTCCAGGCTTCTTGTCATCCGTGGCAACCTCAATGCTGCTGCTTACCGCAACCAGGTACTGGCACCAGAACTTCTGCCTTTTATGGCAGCACATGGACCCGGTTTGATCTTCCAACACGACAATGCCAGACCCCACACAGCAATTTTGACAAGGAATTTCCTTCAGAATGCGGGAGTCAACGTCATGGACTGGCCGTCAAGGTCTCCCGACCTCAATCCCATCGAACACGTCTGGGATGCTCTTGGCAGAAGTCTGCGCACTCTCCAGAACCAACCACAAATTTTGCAAGATCTTGGCACCATTTTGCAGCAACAATCAGCGTTAGAAATTGGCACTAGTCCTATAGTCCTTGCCAAACTGCCCAATGGTATTTGCCATTTTTAAGGGTTTTGCTATATGTTATCATTATAAGGACGGAAACTGTTAGTTTCTAACCTTAAACAATGGCGTCGTCTTTCCAATCATGTGTTCACAAGCATCACAAGGTCCATGCGGAGGGGTTGTGTGGCAGTTGTCAACGCACATGGTGGCCATACAGGCTACTGAACTTGTGTGCCATCAGATTCTCGTGCTTGGGACTTATGATTTAAACTGTTGATGTTATTACCGAATACCGTAGGTGCTTGGAACACCTAATTAAAATCCTTCTTTGGACATTAATGATTAAAAATTACCTTCTCTGATACATTTGTCCGTTGTATATCATATATATGGGATTAATTTTGTAGGAGTTTAGTGAATGTCTTTTACGAGTCAACAAACACATACTACGGGGTTGAGGTCTTTATTGCGATGCGATGAGTGTGATCAAGGATCTAGATATCATACACCCTGAAACACATAATTACACAATAAATAATAAGTAAAACATTATCATTAATGCTAGATACATAGCATAGGCTTATTACAAGTAAGTATTTACATATATCAGTCATCCATTAAACACAAGATAGACTGAACCTTAAACGATTATACTAGAACATATACAGTGATATACATGATCCACAATACCGACATATAAGGGAGATAACTCCTTGACTTTCTTTTGACTATAATATATACACAATATATATACATAACGCTTATACATTCTGCATAAACATATACAATACTTTCAGACAGAAATTAATGATATGATCTTACATTAAATGTGGTCATCACAATTAGATTACATTGTAAGTCTTAGACAAATATAAATAACAATGCATACCCTGTGGGTGATACTAAGGTGTGGATCCCAACTGCCACACGTATGGCAACACCATAGATTATCTGAATAAACAATACGTTTTAAGCGGGATATCACGATCTATATTAAAAATATGGACCTTCGTGGATGTATCATTTTAGGTTACAAGCTGTGACAAAGAGAATACGAGGCGACGAAAGCCGAGATGTCATTTGACTAACATTACACGCGATCGCATGAAAAGATGGAAATAATAACTTAGCTGTAAGTTTGACCACTTTTAGATATATTTTTATTGATTTTATTTATCACTTTGTATAACATTTAAAGATTTGCTTGAAACATCTTTGACATGTTCGATGTGCACCCGTTGTCGAAGTGTGAGTCCGAGAATTATATTTTCAATTACATTGCGGGAAATAGTGAATAACTTTTTAATCTATCGATAAAAAATGATAAATTGAAATAGAATACGTATTTCAGACATTGTGAGATGTGATAGATTTAATAAATGAATGGTATGACAGGTAGGTTCTTAAAACTATATACTATTTTGACGTGACTACGGCTTGGCCGGTTAACCGGCCTACGGACCCTAGGGACTCGATGCTTCTTGGCCGGTTTACCTGCCTACGGCGTTGAAAGAGTTAAAACACATTTAAAACGTATCTGTGATAAAAGTTTATTAGAAAAACAAGACGTACATATATACGTCTTTGAAAAAACGTATCGTGAAAAATCAAGATACAGCACCTCACAAATCGCACAACGTATCGTATGGAGTGAATCGCGATGCATCGGTGTCCCGGGATATCTTTCAGCCCTAAATACAACACAGGATAGAGATTATAACCATTTAACTCACCTGATTTAATATTATCTCTTTATCCTTTGCTGGTCTGAGCAGTTCTGTCAGTTTATGTGCTGAGAGAGTATGCAGTGTAATCAAAGCATGCAGTTTAACAATAGGTGTTAGCTTGGCCAATCAGCAAATGAAGCTTCTGGCCATGGGGCAGTTAGTAGGTAAGACAGGTCAGATACACTTTGTTATAGCTGACTGAAACTGACAACTAGTTATATATAATAAATATACGTAAAAACCTAAAATGAAATCAAAACAAATATATACAAAAACTACATCGGCCACACTTTTAAAAATGTGAAGTTTTTAATTTGACTCAGTATAGATTGTATGATACTATTTGAGGAAAAAGGGTGGTTGAGTTGGGAGTACAGCAACAAGGGTAGACACCAGTAGTCATAATACAATTTGTTCGCAGATCATTTTTAACAAGTTTATGTTTGTTTGTTGTTTAACGCCACACTCAGCAATAGTCCAGCTATATGACGGCAGTCTACAAACAACTGATTCAAAACCAGACAATCCAGTGTCAAATCATGAGCATCGATCTACGCAATTGGAATACAATAATATGCATCAACCAAGTCAGCAAGCCTGACCACCTGATCCCATTAGTCGCCACTTACAGCAAGCATTGGTTGGTGAAGGCATATTCTCTACCTGGATCTTCATAGTTGGAGGTTTATGTAACATAACCAGATGTTTTGAGAAAATAGCTAGTTCCTCTAGAATTTCACTAGTCTAAGATTAACTTACTTATGGCCATGTCTGGCCCTGATTTGTGTTTGTGTATCGTAAAAAAAAACTACTAGGAAAAACAGTTGACTGCAGAGAGTCTTTGATAAATCCATACACAAAAGTTTTGTAAAAGAGTCTCTTCTTACGTTGTCTTATGCTAAATTTTGGGGGATGAACGTAATCGTATCCAACTTTGAGGTAATTGATGGAGGAAAAAATATAAATGTTATCATTTCCATAATATAATTTGATATTTCAAGTTGTCCAAAAAGGGCTTTTTTCCTCCCAAGGGATTGAAAATTCATGCGTTCAGTTCATAAAGGTTTACATATTAACATAAAAGCCATTACATATGTAGCCAGTAGACAAGTTTGGGCAAAAATAACACAGATTGCTAAGCTGATATCAAATTTTAGAATTGGGCTTCAGACTTTTGGATAAAGCCATTATTTATGTCTTAAGATGGGCCAACATATATTTTCAGATGAATCCAACTGTCTTCAAAATTACGAAGAATCAAAGGATATTAGCAGAGGCACTCGAGTCCATTGACAGAGAATTGACAGTTTTTCAGAGCAAACTTAGCCACATTGATGAGAGAACTGATGAGATGAGAGGTCGACAGACAAGAGAAGAGCTTCATAGAAAAACTATCAATGATGCTCTTCAGGTACTAACAAAAGCTGTGAAGTCCCTGAGAGGAAACATCAAGAAAATTATCAATCCTGAGGTAAGGTGCTCGTTTGGAGAAATAGTTTCTTGTATGTTGCCGTAGTTACTTATGCAGAGTTTGATATGGCTAGTGTTTGAAATTGAGGATGAACGCCAAGTGTTTCTTGTAATTCTTATAGAATATAGATTAAAGTTGTCCCCAGATTAAACTATTGGTCTTGAGAACACTGGACTCCCTTTAGGATCTAACACAAACTGAACCAGCTAATTCATCACTTGTACTGTGTACTGTGATGAGACTAAAGCAGTATTAGAAATTGGCACTAGTCCTGTAGTCCTTTCCAAACTGCCGTATAGTTAAAGTGTCATAAGGACGATCAGAAATTTGCCCTTTTTTAGGGTTGTGCTATATGTTATCATGATTAGGACTAGTGGACTAAAACTGTTTGTTTATCTCGCTGTAAAGGGCCTTAATTGAAGTCAATTTTTATAGAGAAAATAGAGTTAAATAAAACATCCCTTTCATCTCATAGACACTGAATGAAATTAGCCCTGATTAGTACTTAACCTATACAGGGTTAGAAACTAACAGTTTTTGTCCACTAGTCCTTATAATGATAACATTTAGCAAAACCCTTAAAATGGGCCAATTTCTACTAATCCTTAGGATACCTTTACTATTGGGCAGGTTGGTAAGGACTATAGGACTAGTGTCAATTTCTAACGCTGCCTATATTGAGTAGGAGAGTAGTTGCTGTAAGTGGGAGAAAACATGTTCTTCAACACCATGCCTGATAGACACCGCTGCCTGATGTGACTTAAGACAGGGCAAAACCGCTTTATCAGTGATCTATTTTGGGAACTCTAATCACAATCTGGTGCTATCTTCGGGGGTCTTTTGTATTTGCAAAAAAAGGGCATTAGTCACACTGCATGTTGTTGTCAAACTATTAATTGACTGTCTGATCCCTAACATAAATAGTATTCTTAATAAAAAAGTTTGATTATTTTTTATATTTTTCTTTTATCAGATAATAAAAAAAACAGTTCTTGTCAATGAAATTAATAACTCATGAATATTAGGTTTCTCCAAATGTGGGTCGACGTCATTTTCTAAATAGAGATGGCTGCAGGTGGGCAGACTGTTTTCATAGTGATTCAGCAATAGAAACTAACAGTTTTAGTCCACTGGTCCTTGTAATGATAACATATAGCAAAACCCTTATAAATGGTAAATTGGTACTAGTCCTTATGATACCTTAACTGTTGGGCAGTTTGGCAAGGACAATGGGACTGGTGCCAATTTCTGTTGCTGGTGATTGCAATAGGAGGGACCACAAATTTAGATCACAAAACTCCATTTATTGAGAACGATTTTCTAAAATGTGGCTGCACATTTTCCCCATCATATATAGTTAACGACATTTGTATATAGCCGAGCTTAATTAGATTGCTTAATTAGTGCTGATAATCAATTTCTAAATGTTGACCCACATTGTCCGTTATAGAGATTGCAAATTGACAGACTACATCTATAAATTACTTAGGATGACGTTACCTCCACAATAGGTACACAAAGATGGCAAACAAACAAACAAACAAATATCTCATAGCCTGAGTGTGTGTGTATGTGTGCACGCGCTAATGCTAGCCCACCGAGGCACCATGAGGCCACTCAGACACAGTATACGGACTCCAAGCCAACCCTTTAAAGGGCAAGTTCACACGGAAATGAACCTAATTTTCTTGTACTTTTTCCACAATGAAAGTGTTAACCTAGAAGTGTCATAGACAAAAATATAAAAATATCACAATTAATTAACATATTTTTCGCATTAAAACGATTTATATTTTTCACATTTACCAAGTGTTCTATTTCCAAAACAAAAACACCATGGCTTATGCCCCTTGCAATATGACGTCATTGGTGCCAATTGATAAACATTATGACGTCATCATGCTTTGTTAGAGCCGCTTCACGTGGTGTAGGTACAGGTGTGTGATTCTAGCGTCTCAGATGCCAGCCAGCATAGTGTTATGCTGAGTCACCACTGCGCCGGAGTGTGTCGTAGGCCATGTTGTTTTACCGAAAAACTTGTACTTGATATCTTTTGCGTTCAGAATAGACAGGGACCCAGTTGAATTGGCACCAATTACGTCATAATCTAAGGGGGATAACTCAGGCCTGTTTAGCTCGAAAAACGAAGGCCTCATAACGGCATATCATTTTCACACTATTGTGAGCTTCCTGCTTTCACTGTGAAAAAAATGAGCGTATATTTTCAAACACAGATACTAACTAATTCTAAAATTGCGTTTTGTTTAGAAAAAGAAAGAAAGTGATTTTTGCGTGTACACTTCCCCTTTAAAGTCTTTTGGTATGACATGGCTGGTGATCAGACAGGCCCTGGACCTTCCGCTCTCTGGGCGGACGCTCTACCACTAGAACACAGGACAAATCATGTAGATTCTGGCAACACTTTAATGATTGTTTCCATTCTGTTGCCCATTCAATTATTTTTTAGTGGTTAAGTGTTAGGATGTGCCTGTCTATGCATTTCCATAACCATTTACCGTATTCGACGTAATAAGCGCCCACGGTGATATTTGCTAATATATTGGCAAGTGAACAATCCCACTTAGCACCCTTTTCGATTGATCAATGTACACGACTTATTTATTTGTGTATAATATGCACTCGTGTGTTATATGCACCCTTAATTATGGGCAACTAAATTCTGGAAAAATATATCTGTTGTATATAAACAGTTCAGGCCGTCAGCATTAACCACAAAATTTATCTTTCAACTCTCTATTTTTCCACCAAAATAATATTCTAATAAGATCCCCTATTTCTAATTTTGAGAGCGCCCTGGGCGCTTATTACGTCGAATACGGTAAGTATTGAAAATATTGATGTCAGCAATCCTTCTTAGTTGAGGCTGTTGATCCTATATATTTGTATTTTGAAATTTAATAATGTCATGAGACTTGACGCTTAGTTGTATTATGTCTCCAGTTGAATCATTACATGACATATTTATTAAATAGATATGAATTTGTTTTCAGATCTTTAGATCTGTTGATGTTGAATTTCTTTTAATTGTAGTCAACTTATAATATTGAGAAGACAAACGCCATGAAAGCAATTCGGTCTCAACTTAGTATAATGACAAAAGCCAATAAGAGAGTGGTCTATGATATGACCCAAACACGGACAGAGCTGAACAGTCTGGTGAAAGATCTTGTAGGCATCCAGCTGGCTCACCAGAAGAGCGTCTTAAACATTGAAGCACTTGGACAGGACAATCTCCACGCCAAACAGAACTACAGGATGCTGAAAACTGATCAGGTAGGTTTTGGGGAGTAGTTCCACTATTTCTTATGACATGCAGTCTGTGACTTTAACCACTAGTCCAAAGCCCGAGTCTAGTAAAATTCTGTTCGGTCTAGTAAGCTCTGCTAAATATAGACCATATGATTACACTAAATTCTGAAATGATGCTTAGAGCAATATTCAAGCTAATAGACACAAAACTTATTGGCACTGACTGGATATGTAATGATGGTCTTAAATAGTGATGGGACGATACACTGATGTGTCAGTGATCGCAATTCTTTACTTCTCGATAAAAGTAATAATCACTGTCGCACACTAAGTAAAAAATATCGATTCTGACGTTAAATGTTTGCTTTAATAACTGTTCCACTAAATACTTATCAGTAGTTCAAGTTATTAGTGAAAACATACATATTTTCATTTGTTGTGCCATACTTGACACTGCCAACTGTAAATCATCAGTGTGCCAGGTGTTTGGCCATCCTCTCTATGAAAAAGATGGCTTACGCAGCACAGATATGAGCACATGCAAGTATCGTGATACATATTAGATCATGAGTATTAAAGGTATCGTGATGCGTAACAGATCGCACAATTGTTGTATCGTCCCATCCCTAGTAGTAAAAAGTCAACACAGCTAGTGCATCAGGTGGTCAGGATTGGTGACTTGGCAAAGTGTATCATCATATCCAATGGCACTGTTTGGTGCTCATAATACTGGATTATTTTGTCCAGACCTGATTTTTTACAGGCCTGCTGTCATGTAGGTTGAATATTGATAACTATGGCATTTGATAACAGGAATTTCACAATGAACTCTATGACTTTACACCAGATGCACGTACATTTTAATCTGAATTTGCCAAAAATGAATTCAATTGAAACATTTTTGAAAAATTATTACCCTGAAAAAGTTGACATTTACCCAAGTGGATGTGCCATTTGTGAAAATATAACTTTGTCAGGTCACTTGATGAAAGAAACATTATTTGACAGTATAGTCAAAATGGAGCACCTTTAGAATAGAGTATCACAACTTCTCGTGAGGACGATCTCTGCTGTAGGTCACATGTCTCAAAGACAAGCAACCAGTATTTGTGAGAATCCGTCGGATGTGAACATGCGACCTTTGGATTGTTAGCCCGACAGCTAACCGACTGAGCTACATCCACACTGTGAAACTAAGTGCAAATTTACCTAGTCATGCCTATGACTTTACAGAACTGACTGAAAAGGGTCGAATAGGTGACAGACACATACGAAGGGGTTACAGGTAGGCATGGTGTCTCGTGACTTTAGTCTACGGAGACACTTACGAATGATCCTGATGCCATTTGGCACACTCATCCCATTCCGTAATATACAAGATACCGATTGGTGAGAAATGAGCCGATATGGTGCGAATGTAAAACGGCTTCAGGCATCAGACAGACGTCGAACTCGCGAGTACGCATGAATGATATGATATTTAATAATTCATCAGATTTTTGTGACAGAAAGGTGTGGTAGGGAACACTGAGGATGATGTGGATAATTGTAAGGAACGGGGGAGGCATGAGCATGACTAGTGACGACACAACAGTGAGTTCGCTTTTGAATCAGTACTGAATAATGTAGCCGGTGAAAGTGGTTTGTGTGAATGTTCCAGGACAGTTTCCAGTAGCCAAAATATTCGACACAAAACTATTTCATTCTTTTCACTTGATGTTTTTGTGTGAAGAATATTAGGAGCTGTTAAAGTATCTATAATAGCCACTGAACGGGTACCTAACCCTAATGATCGTAAAGGGGTGATTGATCGTAAAGGGGATCCAAGGGCTAAGGATAGAGTTCAGGGTAACCTACCCTTATACTGGCGACATTTGAATGTGTTCAGCGCCAATATAATATCCCTGATAAACTGCATTCTTGTGCATAATAATCAAAATTAATGAACCGAAAAAATAATATATGTATATTAGTTCCCATTTATAACCATTTCAGCCACTTGAATTACAAGAAAAACAAAATGAAAATATATATATAAAATAAAAGTGCTTTCGTAAACTAGCGCTTGCTCTAAAATGTGCCGCTGCAGGTTATATTTAATAAACAAATATTCAAAACTCTCAACACCACTGTGTGTATTCAATGACATTGCGTGTAGAGATGATAGATCACTGGGAGGAGCTTATGCACGCTCAATGACCCCTGACGTCACAGGGCATTGCTTTGCTGGTGTGACTGGCAACAAAATACTATAAATTACATCATAGGGTATTGTCACGTGTTTGAAAGGTTTGTGATACTATTTTCTAAAGGTAGACCATCAAAATTAACACTCTATGTATCAAATGCCATTATGTGTCCCATGTACTTTCAATTGCATCATTATTTTATGGTGTAGAGAAAATTCAGGACAATATGCCAGCATAATTGTGTATGTCTTTGTTTTCAGGATCAAATGATGACGAAGATTCAGACGTTAGCTTCTGTGTACCGCAGTCTGCTGACAACTCTCCACAACCTGGAAATCAAAGAGATAAATGTCATGCATAAACTTGAACACTATGGAGAATCTGTTTCAAAGCTAAATGCAAATTTTTTAGGAGTAGTGAAAGGGACTGGGAAGAGCTACGTGAAGGGGAAGAAGGTAGGTTATAGGAACAATGCCATGCAGCATTGGCAGACAGTAACAGCTAATCAAAAGCCAAAGTTTAGTCAATATTTCATACAATAAAGTTAATTTGAGTTATAATGTCCTTACAATCAGTACTTTTGCTCACTATAGCTTGCAAGTGGAGTGTTTCAAAATTAAAATTAAACATATAGGGGACGCGGTCCTTAGATTCCAATAACGTGGGAGAACTTCAGAAGGCATTAAAGAACCCAGGAAACCATTAATTTTTAGAACGCTGAAGTATCCTGAGGTAGACAATCAGGGATCCCATTTGTTTTTCAGTATTTATATATATTATGACATGGACTAAAGCAGGGATAGACATGGTGTTAGGACTGTGTCATATTTGTTTATTTTCCTTCACAACCAACTTATTGGTTGTGAAAATCAATCTTGTTTGAAAATTTGTGATGTTAATACATGTACTGCTTTTTTAAGTCTTACAAGTAATATATTGTATGGTCCTACGTCTAATATATTGTATGCAGGATTTTTAAAAATATTGACTGACTGAGGCAATAACCCAAATCAAAAAGCCTTTAAAATGACAATTGAAAAGCCTTCAAAAGGCCTTGAATTTTAGTGTACCATATCTGGATGAACCTTGTTTGCGAAAATAGGTCATTTATACATGGGTCCCCACATCCCATAGTTGTGATAAATTTTGTATACCACTCCCCTTCGCCCCGTTGCATGTAACATTTTTATTTTTTTCATTCCACCGATTTTTTCATTACTCCCCCAGTCCCCCTCCCTTTAACATATGCAGCGATAGAAACTGTTTTAGTCCACTAGTCCTTATAGCGATAACATGGCAAAACTATTTGTCAGTTTGGCAAGGACTGGTTCATTTAGGCTTGTCCTAATAGCTTTTTGCAATCAGTTTTAGCAGTTTGTTTCATGATAGGCTGTAAGTTACACTAGCCCAAATAGTTTTCATTCTGGGTTATTGCAAAACATAGCATGGCTTTTCTTCGAACAGCGCATGCTAGGGCTGCACCATGATGATATCACCAGTATACTGATATACTGCAAAAGCTTTTCAAACGATACATATTGCAATATTACTTCTGTGTTCTGCTATTTTGGGTAAAGAATATATAACAAGTTTCATTTTTATTTGTATTGTTTAATTTGCTGCCAGTACACAGCCCTACTGCATGCTATGACAGAAATGAGTACATTTTATAGGGTCTTCAACCCTCCACACATTTACTAATCTGAATCAAGCACCTACCAACATGGACCACTCAACTTGAAAGATTGCAACAAAGATTCTTACCCAGGTGGTAACGTTGCCTTACTGGTAGTAATTCAGCTTAGGACTCCCATTGCTTCCTCCGCAGTCTGAACTTGCAGTCAAATTTACCTGTATCAGTGTTAAAATAGAAGATGAGGTTTGATAAGAACACAGACTGAAATGGTTTGTCCTTCATACCAAATACTTTGATAAATTGGGAGAGCACTGGAAATTCAAATGCTACCAGTTATTAATTTCATTAAGATGTATTTACTTTTTTTACATTTCAAAAACATCAGACGTCAAAAGACTTGGAGGACTTATCACGTCTATTAAAATCCCAGAGGTACATCTACAAGCAAGTGTTGGAGCTACGCAAAGAGTTAAAGAAAATTAAAAAGAAGGCAGGAATTCGCAGTAAATCTAAAAAGGGAAGCAAGCGTCGTAAAAAGAAAAAACGCAAGAAAAAAGGTATGCTGAAATCTATTGATGCATGAAGATCCCTAGCAACCCATGCTTGTCGTAAGAGGCGATGAGCAGGATCTGGTGGTCAGGCTCTCTGACTTGGTTGATGCATGTCATCATAACCCAGCTGCACAATTGATGCTCAGTCACTGGTTTGTCTGGTCCAAAATTGATTATTTACAGACTGCCATCATATAGCTGGAATATTGCTGAGTGTGACATAAAACAGCAAACAACCCAAAGACATTTGTTTGTCTTTAAACTGTACAATTTGATTTGAATCCAAATATATATTTTTGACAGACCCAAGTGGAAGGCTCTAAGATTAATGACCAGCTGATATGAAGCACCAAAGTGGGTTTGTCAGGGTTTTTAAATAATCAGTAGATAAAAAGCTGTCTCTAAGGTGCAAACACAACAAATTTAAAAATGATTGAATAGAACATACTTCTCAGATGCCACTGATTTAGAGCGAGTGAGTGAGTGAGTTAGTATGGTTTTACACCGCTTTTAGCAATATTCCAGCAATATCACGGTGGGGGACACCAGAAATGGGCTTCACACATTGTACTCATGTCGGGAATCGAACCCAGGTCTTCTGCGAGACGAGCGAACGCTTTAACCACCAGGCTACCCGACCGCCCCTACACTGATTTAGAAATCTGTATAGACGATGTGTAGAGGTTTCAAGTTTCTCTATCCTTTCTCTTACTTTGTGATGTCACCAGGGTTCAATACACGGGGTAACAACTTAACTCAAAAGTTTTACTAGCCTGGGTCAAGATAAACTGCCCTTGTTAGTAATGTTAAGACAATGGGGAAATGAATTAGTACTAGCTGGTGTTAAGTTAATCCCTGGATTCCCCACCTGGGTGCCAAACAATGTGTGAAGACCGTTTCTGGTGACCCACGCTGTGAAATTGCTTGAATATTTCTAAAAGCGTTGTAAAACCATACTCACTCACTTTTTGCTAAAGGATACAAAAAGAGGGATTCTGCTGGAACAAGGAAGTCACATATATACTGAACAGCATTGAAAACGCACCACCATGAAAATGGATGTATTATCTATCCGGGCTTAAGTCATATGAAAATATATAAGTGAATGAGTAATATACGACGTTCTGGACGAAGCATGAAGAACAGCTCATCAAAACACATTCCTAAATGTTTTGTGAGCGAAATCGCCAAAACGCAACAAATTGGGTGCACATCATGGAAAGCGTGTTTTGTTTCACGGGAAGCATACAGAATAGGGCTATAAAAGACAGACTTTTAAAAGCCACATCACTTGTTGCTGCAGACGTAAAGGGTACTGACACAAGAAATGCCAAGATTAACAGCAGAGGAACGTGGGCATGCTTCAAGTTGGTACTTCAAGTAGAGTCGTTGCACAACGGTTTCAATGCCATCATTCAACAGTCCTCAGGCTACTGAGCAAATACCAGCAGACAAGAACCACCAGAGATCGACCACATCCGGGTCAACGTCGTGTAACTACACCACGTCAGGATCGCCATATTGTTCGTCGGCATCTTCGTGATCGTACACATCCGGCTACCAGGACTGCAGCAACCGTACAAGGCCGACGGAATTGAACAGTGCTGACACCGTACGTCGACATCTCCGCTCAGCAGGCTACGTGCTCGAAGTCCATATGTTGGACCCATACTCACTGATCGACATTGAAATGAATGTCTGCGTTGGGCCAAAAGGCATTGTCATTGGAGATTGCGGCAGTGGCATGGTGTGCTGTTCTCTGATGAGTACCGTTTTCATTTACGGAATGCTGACGATTGACTGCGAGTGTGGCATCGACGTGGAGAACGTTACCACAATGACTGCGTTGTACAAACAGATCGATTGGGGGGGGGGGGGAGTGTCATGGTGTGGGGCGGCATCAGTCATAACCATCGAACAGAGCTCCATGTTTTTCATGGAAGAGTCAATGCACTTTACTACTGGAATAACATATTGGCAAATCACGTCATCCCATTCTTTCATCAGCACCAGGATATGCACACCTTCCAGCAAGTTAATGCAAGAGCGCACACAGCACATGTTTCAACACAGTACCTTACGAACAATAATGTGCTTCTGCTTCCATGGCCAGCCCTGTCACCCGATCTATCGCCAATTGAACATCTATGGGATTACCCTGGTCAACATCTCTCACGTTATCCACAAGTACAGAACCTGAGAGAACTTGAAGATACACTACGTCAAGAGTGGAATGCCCCAGAACACTATTCACAGACTTATTCAATCAATGAGAAGACGTTGCATGGCCTGTGTTGCTGTCAATGGCGGACATACCAGATATTGACTTTTCATTTTAACACTATGTGTCTTCCTTACACTGATGACGTAATGGGCGATCTTTTTGTTCCAAAGGGCAATAACTCTCCTTTTGAAATGATATAAGCGACGGTCCAAACTGATCAATGTGCGCTGCAACAACTAATGACATGTAGAGACGGAGCCAAGCTAAAGAGTTATCCTGTTGCACCTTCGTTCAAAAACGGTCATTTACAACTGAATATTTTTAACTAGCACATATTTTGTAGTGATTATTAGTTTATAATATCAACATTTTTGAGTCTTCATCTACAAGACGAATTGTCACTTTGGAATATAGCGGGAAAAACGTCATGAAAAATGGTATATTGCCACGGTATTTTCTACGTCAGAAAACAGCGAGGCATTAGTCGGTCTGGGCTAACAAATTGCATCGATGAAATAATGCAAACTCATTATATTTATCAGCCTTTGTGTTATTTCCCACAACAATTCAAGCATTCAAATCTCAACAAATACTACCATGGACTTCAATTTAATAAAATTAGTCATACGCAAACATTTGCAGCACACAGACAACTTTGACAGGCCTTAACCAATGATCTATATAATAAGTATTCATCCGCGCCTTTACAACTATTTTAAGAAGAAATAACGTTCAAAATAATAAAACAACTGATTTTAAATGTTACTTTTTAGATCAAAATTAAAGTTGCATCTGAATATTTGAATTTATATTATTTTTTTAGAAATAGGCCAAATGAACATCTACCATGCATCTTTTAGATCTAAGCACTCAGTTACTCAGTTGCAATATACATACCAGTCATCATACAATGAAATAAGAGATTTACCCATATTATTCTTATATTATACCCCTTATAATATGTGTGCCACCATTAAGTGCTCTGAGTGTTAATTAGTTGATCCATCATTTCTTACAGAATTCTGATACTCATGCTCTTAAAATATTAGTTAATTACAGAGATATGTCCCAACAAACAACAAATCATACTGACTACCCCACAAAATGTGTATGATGCATAAATAGAACTAAATCATAGTTTTATCTTCTTGTTTTAGTAACATTATATTTATTTTAATGTTGACAAATTATTTCCCATACAAAGCAACACACTATCCTGCTGTATGTAAGTATCCTGATTTTCATTCAACAGTACTTCAAGACACCTGTAGTATAAAGTATATTTTGTAGATATTATTATCATATAGCAAATATGAATATGAAAATATGAATATGAAAGTTTATCATCAAATCTTCTGATGGTTAAATAAATGCAAATTGAACCCAAACAGTCATTCCATGTAGATAAATGTATTTATGTTATTTGTTTTTGCATATAACAGATTAAACGTACATATGTTACAGTCAGTGTCTATAATCAGGCCCAATATGTATTTTGACTCAACATTTCAGTCAAAATGCATATTGACCGATTCACTCAGGTAAGGTATATTTTTTCTTAAATTTTCATTCATTTATTATTGCCTGAGAAATACGACCGGATTTTAGACAGACTGGCTGAAATGAATAAGACTGCATACTTTAAAGGGGAAGTGTACACGCAAAAATCACTTTCTTTCTTTTTCTTAACAAAACGCAATTTTAGAATTAATTAGTATCTGTGTTTGAAAATATACACTCATTTTTTTCACAGTGAACGTAGGAAGCTCACAATAGTGTGAAAATAATATGCCGTTATGAGGCCTTCGTTTTTCGAGCTAAACAGGCCTGAGTTATCCCCCTTAGATTATGACGTAATTTGTGCCAATTCAACTGGGTCCCTGTCTATTCTCAACGCAAAAGATATCAAGTACCAGTTTGCGGTAAAACAACATGGCCTACGACACACTCCGGCGCAGTGGTGACTCAGCATAACACTATGCTGGCTGGCATCTGAGACGCTAGAATCACACACCTGGACCTACACCACGTGAAGCGGCTCTAACAAAGCATGATGACGTCATAATGTTTATCAATTGGCACCAATGACGTCATATTGCAAGGGGCAGAAGCCATGGTGTTTTTGTTGTGGAAATAGAACACTTGGTAAATGTGAAAAATATAAATCGTTTTAATGCGAAAAATATGTTAATTAATTGTGATATTTTTATATTTTTGTCTATGACACTTCTATGTTAACACTTTTAATGTGGAAAAAGTACAAGAAAATTAGGTTCATTTCCGTGTGAACTTGCCCTTTAATCTCCTCAATTTAATTTGTATCTATTTTGATTTAATCAAGATCAAAGTAACTAATGTCAGAAATTAAAAATGTTTTCACAATGAATTGATTGATTCTGCAAACCTGAAAGAATCCCAGAGTCCCTTTTTATGTTACTTATCTTTATTAGCATAAAATTCAGTTCAGAAACAGATGACAGCTAAAAAGTCATGCATGTGTAATCAAATACTAGTAGACATGCACAAGTGTGCCCAGATATTAAATAAAATAATTAGAGTCATTGTGCAAAGAGGATATCTTTTGGTGTGAAGAGAAAAAAGAAAAATATTAATAATTTGTTTATGTTGGAATTTGAAACATCAGTTTAGAACAAGGAAACATAAAAAGCAAGTTAAGAATCAGCTTTATCTGTGTCACAATCATATGATTATTGTCAATGCAGACACTGCATTGTTAATACAATCAACATTTTAGAGATTAGCAATTAGTTATTTTAAAAAATGTAGTTTGTACAAATACTCTTGAATATGTATTTTAACTAACATGTAGGGTCCTCTGTGTCTGAATTTTTTTAAGGCCAAAATAATATATATATTTCATTGATCATATTGAAATATAATCATAGTAGTATTTAGCAACAAACAGATACCATTCATATACATAAAATCCTTGTATACAACATGCACCAATTAACCCTTAACATCAAAACAGATTTCAGTGATTTCCATTTCTTTTATTTTGAACATTGTAACATGATATATAGTTATTGACGTAATTTTACAGTGCCTGTTACTCTTACAATTTCTTGAGAACATTCCTCATTGCTCTCTGTTATATATCTGACAAATACTTACATGTGTTGCTGTCAATATTCACAACATTGAGGCTACGGGCAACGTTGCATGAGACCTTCACATTTCGCGTACCGTATCGCCTCACAGTTGTACATACTGAAATGCATGCATATGAAGTAGCCCGCTCGGCGATGCTACAACATAGATATAGGAACGTATACAAAATCTACTTAATTTTCATATTCATACATCAAGGGCAACACTTTCAGTACCGATTGCAAAACGTCAACAAAGCGACCTGGGATGAACGATCAGCTGATCTCACCGCATCGCTTCGAACGCCTATCTAGTGGATAACTATACAATATAATCAGTCGTGGTCATCCCTGATGTATCATTAAATCAAGGAACATTTATTTCTGGACATGGCAATAGATAAATCATTGTTTAGGCGATAAGATATGCTGTCCACACACAAGCGTGACCGTAACCGACAAAGTGAAGGTTATACTAGTTAACTGTCATAGTAACATGTAGGGCGTGTATCGCGCATACCACATGCGCCGTCAGTTTAAGGTTGGACCGTCTGGGTCAGCGCACCTAGCGGCTTAGTGAAGGGAAGATAAATTGAAAAAGATCGCCCATTGTAATTAATGTGTGGTATTCCTGTTTCCTTTGTCGTCTTTCTTAATAATCCGTCTGTCTGTTCTAATCAAAATCGGTCATTGCTCAAGTTGTTTTTGTAATATTTCAAGATTTATTGCTGGTGCGTTTTCAATGCTGTTCAGTATATGTGAGTGAGTGAGTATGGTCTTACGCCGCTTATAGTAATATTCCAGCAATATCACTGCAGGGGACACCAGAAATGGGCTTCACACATTGTACTCATGTCGGGAATCGAACCCGGGTCTTTGGCGTGATGAATGCTTTAACCACTAGGCTACCCAACCGCCCCTCACATATATGAAAACTTGACTGTTTAACAGTGCTGTAGGCTACTTTGTATTGAGTATCATCTAAAATAAGCTTCATGCAAAGCGTCTGACTGCTTTGATCAGATTCATTTTCTGTGGGTTTTTTCATATAGGCAAAGGCATGCTGAACATCTCCAAAAAGATGAAGGGGATTCGTGAATTGACCAAGCTTGTAGCAAAATATAAAAATAAGGTAGGTGGCAGCCCATTTCACTGACGTTTGTTTACATATGCCTCGCATTGTAGTGCCCTTTTCTTGCAGACTATATAAAGTGTCCAAAGAATAATGTTTATTAACTTTATCTATTTTAAAAAAATTAAATAAGCCATATATGAGCACCTGTTTGTGTTGGAAACAATAATTTAGCTCCTGATATATTTTAAAATGCTGATCTCAAACAAAAATCTTGGCCCATCCGTGATATCAAATGGTTGCTCCCTAATTGTTCAGTGTTGTTACAAGAATTGGTATGATTTAATTTAGCGTAAATTGTAAAGTAGTCTTGTACAATTCTTCAAATCATCATGTTGTTACCATAAAGGAAAATTGCACGACATCCGTAAGCAGTGTTTTTTCATCATTCTAACTTATATATGATTATTTGACAAGGTTGTGACAGTGTCAAGATTAAAGATACCAAAGTACACAGTTGACATCTGTCATAACTGCTTGAATCGTGTGTAATCAAAATTTGAGCATTGAACTTGAAGAAACAATTAGCTCCAGTATGTTCTGATAATACTTTATTTATCCATGACTTAATTCATGCAGTGAAGATCCGGGTTCGAACTGCTCTTCAGCAACCGATGCTTGCTGTAAGAGGCGACTTACAGGATAAGGTGGTCAGGCTCGCTGACTAGGTCGATGCATGTCATGGTATATACCAAATGTGTGGATCGATGCGCATGATGTCAATCACTGGACTGTCTGGTCCAGATTTAATTATTTTACAGACTGTCATCATATTGCTCAGTGGTAAAAACTAACAGTTTCAATCACCTCCTCCTGAGGAGGGGGATAGGTCAAACATCAAGGTCCAAAACTTTACTTTTAGACCATGCAGTAAAGATGCAAATTAATCGATGTACAGTAAACTATGGTTATAACGAACTCAAAGGGACCACTGATTTTAGTTCATTATAACCCTCGTGCGTTATAAGCATATATACGGTATATATACAACAAATGGCCGGGACTAAAAATAAGTTTGTTATATCGGTCAGTTCGTTATAAGCGTGTTCGTTATAAACGTAGTTTACTGTAGTTCAAAAGTAAACCTTCAAGAAGGTCGTACTGGGAAAGTCATACCTCACTACTTTTATTTTCAAAGTTGCTCTTGGCTTTCAACTTGATTGAGTCTTACATACTTCAAGGAGAAAGCCCTGTACAAAACAATAGTGAGACTTCACCAGTGGTGTTTAAATTAAATTCATGATTTACAGTATATACCAAAATATTGCTTTCCCCAGAGGGGGTGCGCATTGTGCTCGGGTGTGCACTATACTGAAGAAAATTCAGTATATCAGACATACTAAACATGCTAAAGTATATTGTTTACTCATATTTATTATTGCTTCTTTTCCAGGGCAAATAATACATTAAAATTCAACGTGATAGGGATCCATGGAAAACAAAGGGAATCGAAGACAAGTCAAGAAGAGAATGAATGTCAGATATGTGATGACATGGTTTACTTTTTCATACATAGTCAAATGCAAAAATATTATATACAAAGTACATACATAATTGTAATAATAATAAACATCATACTTAGCATCAAGTAATAACAAGTACATGATAATATTATTATACATAAAGTACATAATAAACAGAGGACTGTGTCAATCTGATATATCTTGTCAACCCACCTCATGTAATATCGGTTTAGTGGAAAAGTCTGAATGGATTGTTAGGTGTTCAGAACAGATGTGAGTGATCTTGGAATTTGCTGGGTGCATCCCATTTTCAATTATCACCATGTTTCATATATCCATTGTATATTGATGAATACCCTGAGCACAATTGCCAACATAGATTTGAGTCAAATATTATGATGCTGAAACTAAAAGGTGGCAATAGTTCATTTGTATTGTGTGCCGTCTCAAACACAACTGGGAATGTCTTGTGACATAAGGTCTTAAAAACGATGATGTTTCCGTGGTGAAAGTTCATATGTAACAGTCTCTTGTTTTGATTAAATTTAATAAGGACTTGCTCATTCAAGGCCACAATTTTGAATGTATATCAATGCCTCGCTCAACAGAATTATTTCTGATAGAAGATCACAGAAAGTGATTTTCGGATATGATTGTTCCTCTAGTCTTATTACACAGCAGTCTGTGACTTTGGCCTATTGTCAAAAGCCTGAGTTTAATAAATTCTGTTTGGCCTAAGTTCAGCTAAAAATTAGTCTATATGCTGATGTTGTCATTGCTCTAGACTTATTACTCAGCAGCCTGCGACTTCAGCCACTAGACAAAAGTCTGAGTCTAGTAAATTCTACTGAAAATGTTCCTAAAAACCATCAAGTTAGTAGACTCAGAACCTTTTAGCACAGACTGACTCTGTATTATGTTGTATATGCATGTTAACACCCAGCTGTGTTTTTATTTAGCACTACTACTACCATCTGCCTACTCTGAAAACACTTCAGTTCTTGTGTGGAATTAATCCCAGGATTTCTATGGAAGTCAGCAGTTAGATTATCACTGGTATCATAATCTGCTTTTCATGTTCATGAACAATTTCAGAAGTGTTTTGTTGACTTCAGTTTGAAAACATGAGTAAGGTTGATTGTTTCATATCATCCAAAACTGGCTTCGATATCACTGCAATGAAATGGCATCACAATGCTTTGTAGGCCATTGTCATCAGCTTCTATGACGTCGCAATCAGATAACATCGCAATCAGATGGTTAGCATTTTCCACTGAAGACACTGATTATTACTGTTTACAAAATAAATAAGTAGGAAGGATGATAAATAGAATCTCACCCTTGTGTCATGACTTCAAACTTACCGATAAAAGTTCAAAACTCCCTGACAAGCCTCAGAGTTTTAAACTGTTATCAACTTGTGTTGATATATTGGCTATTAAAAAACACTGGGTGAGATTTTCTGTTTAACATCTCCATCAGATTATTATTTATTTTTTGGAAACCCTATTGCACTGATGCATCATTAGTTTTATCCTCAGTATCAGTGTTCAAGATGAAAGTAAAGGCATCCTTGTCATAACCCAAATGAAAACCATTCAGGGATCCATTGATCGAAATATCACTGTAGTAAGCCTCAAGGACACCAGAAACCCCCTTTTTTCAAACTTCTAACCCCAAGTATCATGAACAGAATGAATATTAAGTTTCACTTGTCTTGCATATACAGGTCACCACTCATAAAACCTTATGATAGGTTACAATGGGTGGAGAAAAGAATCAAATCTTAAATTCTTTGCCTAAAATACAGTAATAGTCTAGTGCTGAGAATGTTATTTACTTATGACCTTTGTCAGGACATATTATGTCTAGAATTTTCTTATTGTACTTAAAACTGTAGTAACTGTACATATTATTTAGATGTCTTGTAAAATAGGATCCTTGTGTATATTTGTCGAACCACGTCTGTGCCAAAAACTCAAAGAGCAAGGGAATAGTTGAACATTCCCAGTCAGAATGTGACCAGTAAATCATAATATCTCACAATAAAAGTTCACAATCCCAAACACAACAGAACACAGTGTGGCAGTTGATTAATTCATCCTGAATATGTTCTTTTACTATCTTCACACCTACATCTGGATAAAAATGGGTAATCTTTGACCAACATCAAATATGTGGCTCTAAAAGTTGACATTAAAATGTTTCACTACAAGTTGCCACAAGAAGGGGATGTTCTTACCACTGAGGCAAAGTCTTCTTTTTGATCTAGCCTCTCTGATCACTAAACAGAAGCATCCCATGAAAGATTCCAACTGGTTCCAATGCATGTCACTACATGAATATCTTATAAATAAGAAATGGTCTGGGGTTTGTTAGGATGAAAGGTTACCCATACATTATCTGTGGGTTGGGAGTCGTAAAGTTGTACAAATATTTATGCAGCTATAAGGGTTTCAAATGTGTGGTTTAACTGCATTCAGTTCAAATATAATTCAGTTTTACGATGTTGCTCCACAATAAAATGAGCATGTTATTCATTCCATATTACACTTGAACTTAGTCTTTGTCTTTCGGAAAACCTACATTAACCCCTGGATACATTCGGGTGGTTCTCACGATCTCAAATTACCTGCCCTTGATTTTCATGAACTTTTTACCAACCAATCAAACATTAGATAAGAAAAAAGGAAATGGGTAAGGGAGAACTTGATACCGCCAGTTGTAATGGACATGACTACATCCTTTTCATCAGAAAGATTTTTGAGGGCATGTCAGTCAGTTTTCAGAGTTGAATTTCTTGCAAACTCTTGTCATTAAAGGGATGTTCCATGTTCTCGAAATATCGCCAACCCAAAAATGAGGTTTGTTTGTAACTTGCATTCTGATTGGTTCGTTAGACTGAACAGCGTGGCGAATCAAAGGTTTACCGACATACGAGCCCTGAAGATGTAGTGGTCTTTAACATGGTACATCCAATACTGCACAATGACAAACAGAAGAAGAGGATATTTGGAGGACCATTTAATGACTTACTTGGAGCAGTGAATTAGATGCATCTGACTCCACAATTTGTAGGCCTCCATATTTCTTGTGTAGTTAAGTAGTTTGTATATTTACTTAACTCGACTGGAGGACATTCTTGTTATTATCTATTTATTTCACTTTTATGTTTAGTGTATAACTCATGTATTGTCATAAATAAATGGTTTATTACATCTTTGATTTCTTGTATTTGTTTACAACCAACCTCGAAAGAGGAGACATCATAATAATAAACTATCAATTCTAAGATCAACATTTCTTGTCACAAACATGTAAACATAATCATCATCAATGCAGTCATGGGAGACAGTTTTAAGTGACTGGTCACATAAATTGAAAACATCTTTGATTATACTGCAATAGGTGCGATGAGTCAGTAGGATGAAAATGCGTTAAGAGGATGGCATTGTTGACAATCACAGTCCCTAACAGACCATTTACAAAATGCTTGAACAACTTTGTGTCTTAATGCTGTGATAAGGATTTATAATCCAAAACTGGCTACCACAGGATATATCGTTTTGGTAAGATCAAGTGATATCTCCATTGTGACCTTGTCGGTTACCATGACATCACAATCAAATGACATCACTAATCTCCCTGCCTCTGAAGCTGGTTAGCTGTACATTTTATTCTCAAGACACTGCTGATTACATTTTACAAACTGAAATATTGGAAGAATGAGTTTGGATGATAAATAGAATCTCACCCTTGTGTTTTTTACATCGATTTGATCAATTATATCAACACTGGAGTCTTCAACTTTTATCCACTCGTGTTGATATATTTGATATCCAAAGATACTTGGATGAGCTATTTTTGCACACACCCCTGCCCCTCCCCCATCCTCCTTAAATGTGTGATGCGATCTGCTAACTTGGTAAAATTTTAGTTCAACTGATTTTATGTAATCCATTTAGCATGATCAGTTAAATGGTAAAGGACCCAGTGTTTTCTAATACTGATAGTCACCAATTCATAATTTGGACTAGACTGCCATAAACTGATACTGTGTTTTGTCGAGTGAAATCCTATTTAGCAATTGTCATCTCAAGGATAGCACCCTTTACTGGCTTATGCATGGGAACTAATTCATTTTAATAAGATAATTTCAAAAATAATACTTATCTCAAACACATTTTGTAAAAACACAATTTATGAATGCAAAATAAAAAACACAGGAATGTACAATAACATTTGTTAATATTTGATGTGTATGTCCATCATGAAACTGGCTCAATCATGAAAATGTACACCCTTGTACACAAGGATTTATCTAGGATTCTGAACTATGCTTGTTGTAAGAGGCAACTAACGGGATCGGGTGGTCAGACTCAGCTGACTTGGTTGCTGCGTGTCATCATATCCCAATTGCATGGATCGAAGCTCATGATGTCAATCACTAGATTGTCTGGTGCAGGCTCCATTATTTACAGACCGCCGTCATGTAGCTAGAATATTGCTGAGTGTGGCGTTAAACAACAAACAAACAAAACCAATTTATAGTTATAACTCTATTAACATGAATTTGGAATATTTTAATTCCAATTTTTGAATTTTTACTGACATTTGCTGCAGACTATATGATATAGCCCATTCAAGTCTACAATATGTGGCAAGTCTATACTACTGCAGTTTCTGAAAATGAAAGTCTCTTGGCTCCTTTTTATTATATTTTAATAAGATATTTTAACCACTTTTTCTGTAAAATATCTTCATTTCAGTGACAAGATGTCAGTCCAATCGGCCTCTGAGCAGGCCAAGATAAATCCCATGTACATTTGACAAACAATTGTGAGTCACTGTTACTTGGCACTGAGATCAAGGGAATCACAATCAATGAATTATTCTCACTCTTACTCTGATAGACTATAATCAAGTAAATATTGTCCATGACTGCCTGGGGAACAACTTGAAACTGTAACAAGCAAGTTTCACATGGAGGCAGCGCATAATAAAACATGACATCGCAAACTGGCATCATATCACCATACCAAACAATAGGTTTCTGATTAACAATAGTTAACAAGAACAAAATATCATTCCAACAATAAAATCACATTTCCTGTCCTGAGGATGCAGAGTGAAATATTCTTAAAGTGTCATGGGTCACTTGACCATGTTGACAGGAGAAATTAATTCATGATAGCAAAGATAACCTGTATCCTTCAATTAAACAACCATGTAAAATACATTATTATGTTAAAACTTGGTGATATATCAAGGGAAAAGACTAATTGTGACTTGACAAGCAAATATCTTCACAAGTACATTAATATTGCCTTTAGTATACAACTATAACATGTGGACTAGAGCTACTAGATTTTGGTATTTGTTCAGTTATCCATATTTCTTCTTAAACTTGCTGCTGATTTCTTCATTTTCATTGTTCTGGGGGACCCTGGCGGGGCTCAGATACTGGTAGCCATGAATCATGAAGGCGATGGAGATAACTGAAAGAAAATAATAATAATAATAATTTGATTTACATAACGCCTTGTTTCCATCACAAGGTACTCTATGGAACTCATCATAATACAACATTACATACACTAGGGCTGGGACGATACACCAACTGTGAGATCCAATACGTATCACGATACCGTACTCACAATCCGATATGTATCACGATACTTGCATGTCCTCTTATCTGTGGTGTGTAAGCCATCTTTATCATAGATAGGATGGCCAAACACCTGGCACACTGACAATTTACAGTTGGCAGTGTCAAGTATGGCACAACAAATGAAAATATTTATGTTTTCACTAATAACTTGAACTACTGATTAGTATTTAGTGGAACAGTTATTAAAGCAAACATTTAACGTCAGAATTGATATTTTTTACTTAGTGTGTGACTGAGATCGATACTTGTATCAAGAAGTAAAAAATCATGCATCATCAATGCATCGGTGTATCGTCCAACCACTAACATACCCCAACAGAGATGATCTACAGAACAGTGAGTGAGTTTGGTTTTACGCCGCTTTTAGCAATATTCCAGCAATATCACGGCGGGGGACACCAGAAATGGGCTTCACACATTGTACCCATGTCGGGATTCGAACCCGGGTCTTCGGTGTGACGAGCGAACGCTTTAACCACTAGGCTACCCAACCGCCCCTCTACAGAACAGGTTTACACTGACAATGCTGGTGATCAGGAAGACCTGTGGGTAAGATGTGTCTATATAAGATACATGATGTCTGGACCTTTAAATGTATCATAATATGTAAAATGACACATCACATACTGGGACTGGTGTCACACATTCTTTAAGGAAATGACTTCAGTATTTTCAGGTATAAACGTAAAAGCTGGTGTGCATATTGTGTAAATCCATGTAGCATATTTATGCAAAGTGTGCATGCCGTTTTTTACTTGGTATCAATAAATAAATTGAATGTGATTCTGTGGCATTTGATTGGCTAATCAAGCAATTTGTTTTTGTCGTTTACGTTTCCATCAAACCCCCAAACTTCAGCATTAGGCCACATCCACTAACAGACAATATGTTTTTGAAATTAATTTGTTTAAGTAAATATGTCAACAATAATAACTCACAGACTGCTTATTGAATCATAAACACACAAAAGACTGTAGATAACAATACGTATCAATGATATTCAGTGCAATAATGCAACAAACCCCACCCACTCTATTGTCAGCCAAACAGAAAACAGACGTCTGTTAGTGGGCGTTGACTAGAAAACTTGTTTTGTTAGCCGATCAAATGTCACAGAACCACTTGCAATCTGTTTATTACAGATTATAGTGTATGCATCTTGTACACTTGTAAAGTTTTTCGATAAACATGCGAAAGGCACCAGATCTTTGAATGAGGTCTATTGTCAGGCGGTCCGGAAACAGTGGTCTGTTAGTGGATGTGGCCTTATGCTGAAGTTTTGGGGGCTTTATGGAAACATAAATGACAAAAAACAAATTGCTTGATTAGCCTATCAAATGCCACAGAATCACATTCAATCTATTTATTGATCTATGAACAGTATTCTTTATGCATGTAACAAAATCTCGGGTGTGAGTGCATATTCCACCAGATTTAGTGATTACCCTGGTAGGGCATGACTCGCAAGCTGTGAGGAATACCGGTAGTACATTATCTGCCCAGAGTGAAGTAACCTTGTAAGTCCCAACCCAGTAATAAACACAAAACAAACTAATGTTCACTTACAGGAGACAATGAATGGGGCTGTGACACCAACACACAACTCCACAGTGTTGTAGATCAGGATCTCGGCCACATAATGTACAAACACAACCAGGAATGAAAACAGTGTCAGGTTGTACAAACTGAAACAGAACAGACATAATCATGGTAACTTTTTCCATTGCATTTAACTTTTATCTTTAAGACAATACACTGCCATAAAAAATACTACAATGACTTTGAAAAACACTGTACTCCTTTTGGTCATTCAGAGGTTTCAAATCACAATAACGACCTCTATCATCAAATCACCTGTATCATTTGATGACAAAATGACCACATGTGTAAACCAATATTTATCAAAAGTACTTCTTTCTTAATAATTATCAACAGACAGTTCTAACATGTCTAAACCATGATATTAGCAAATGTTCGTTATAAAATGCTGAGATGAAGTTTTTTGAAAATTTAAAGTATGTGTCTGTCAATTTTGGACAGGAAGTGGTATGAAAATCGACCTGAAGAGATAATAACAACGCTTAGCGACCCAAGAGAGCTTGAAACTTGGCATGTCTCTATCTTAGACTGTGGTATCATACAAATACCGAAAGGTGTGATGTCATAACAAAGAAGTTTGTTGCAGAACTGTATCTTACATGGTTCGCTTCAGTTTCTCTATGGATGTCCCCTTAGTATATGTCTATGAAGGTCCTCTGTTACACATTTCTCATTCCTCTAATGCATGTGAGTTATGCATCACTCACTACTATCCATATTTAACAGAGGATAAAATAATAAACAAGGACACTTCATGCAATAAAGTATCATGTATCATACAATTTGTTTGTTTGTTGCTACATGCCACACTCAGCAATATTCCAGCTATATGACGGCGGTCTGTAAGTAATCGAGTCTGGACCAGACAATCCAATGATTGACAAAATGAACATTGATCCACTCAATTGAGATTGATGACATGCATCAACCAAGTCAGTGAGCCTGACCACCCGATTCCGTTAGTCGACTCTTACGACAAGCATAGTCGCCATTTAGGGCAAGCATGGGTTGGTGAAGACCTATTCCACCCCAGATCTTCACGGACTGTCATACACAAGACTCACGCTTTGTTGTAGATGTCAAAAGCACAGCTGAGCCTTAAAGCAGCTGAAATAAGAGTCCATATACCGAACAGTCGAGCAACCAGTCCATTCACTGAAATATGAACAAAATAAAACTTTAAAATCATTTCTAAAGTATTGACAGATATATGTAAAAAATGTTTACTTGTCACAGTGACATGTGACCATTTTTCGCCCCGCTCATGTCTCGAAATATGAGGTGAGGTGAAATGGGGTTTAACGTCGCGTCCAAGATTATTGCACTCATATAGCGACGTGCATGTACGTGTGTGTGTTTGTGTGGCTGCTTGTACTAGTCCGGACTGATGCCGATTTATAGTGCTAGCTCACTGAGATACCATGCCGCAGTTTAACATGAATACCCCACTCAGACACAGTATACTGACTCCGAGCCGACCAGTCCTTGTTTTAGCCCCTTAATGCCGAGCGCCAGACAGGGTAACAACGAGTACCTTCTTTTAACTTCTTTTGGTATGACACGGCCGGGGATCGAACCCGGGCGGACGCTCTACCACAAGACCACGGAGGCGGTCCTCGAAATATGAAGAGAGGGGGTCAAAGTTATGTTTCAGGCCAAATTGTAAAAACTGACTAAACACTTGTGTGACAGATCTACCAATTGTTTTGTGTATTTATACTGACAATATAAACCTTTCTGGGGTTTTTTTTAACTTAAGCATGTACCAGTAATAGTAATCTTCATTTGCAACTCAGGTTACAGAATGGGATAAAAAAAATCATAGTCTGAAGAAATACTGTTAACTTTTGGTTGCATAAATTGAAATAATTCTTATCAACAAAATATTACATAACATAACATAACATAACATAACGAGCTAACCAATGCTAGGTAACTGCTTCTTTGGCATGTTTGTGGTCTCTCTCACAGACCCTGGAGAATAGAATTGAAAAGGAATCAAATTCAAGTCTAAAATGATATGGCAAGTTTAGAATGATATGGCAAGTCTAGATTGCCTCAGCTCTAGGATATATGGTGTTGTTCTGGACTCCCTTTGGATTTTATTTTTTTGTAATTTGCAAATATATATGTTTTTAATATGATAAAACTCAAAAAAATGTCAGTCTTCCATGTTTGGTGTAGCACACATTTTTTAAAACAAACTTACATCCAAGTTATGTATTAAAACAGGTTAGCCCTATACTTGGTAATCTTAGTGACAATTTTCAGTCTGGAATGTGTCATTCTTAGCAATATTTCAGCAGTCGTTTTCACCAATGATTGTGCTGTTGCTCTGGCATTTTCACAAGGACCCGCTGAACCTCACAAAGCAAAACAACTCACAAAGCAAAATCTGATTCACATTCGGATGATTCTGTTTTAGACTACAAAATACAAGTCCAGAGACCATATGGTCTCTGACAAGTCTTATGAAGACAGAGATCACTAATGGACTTTCAGTTTCTTTATTCCATCTGGGCAACGTTTCAGTACAGATGCTGGTAGATCTAAAAAAGGTACTAGCATCTCTACAAAAACCTGACATTGATAGAAGATAGAATTCTAAAACCAAAAGTCAACTCTGCTACAACTTCTAAAAAGCTACTTAAATTTAGATCTGGTAACATTTGAAATAGAAATGATAAGCATTTTTTGAATCACGTGAAATACACCAAAACATGCTATAGTTTTGAAAATATCAGAATCTACACAGAAACTTTTGTGTCAACAGCGATCAGCTGATATGGTCCAAGTCGGCCTATCGTGACCTGCTGACATCGTGTGTGGCGTGATAGTTACAACTTCCACCCGTGTTTGATGCCTTACCATTCGATTCAGAAACAGTGTAGAGTCGAGAATATAGAAAGCTATGGTCAACGAAACACTGTATCGTATTCCCAAATGCCATTAATGATACAAATCCAATCCAAATACTCAAATATTTCATATATCTCGAAGTTTTTCTCGCTGAATTTCTTGGTGCCATCTTCGGGCTGTCTGCTTGAGACCGGAAATGCATTGGCGGTTTTGAATATTACGACGTTTAATATTTACCATAACATCTTTGAAAACACGAAATCTATTTTCTCCGTAAGGAACGATTAATCATAGTAATGAACTATACGGTGAGGTGTAAAGGTTTCTACATGAAGCTTAAATGCAGTTTGGGAAATGTCGTTAAATCGGAAAGGTGACGGAATACGTTAACAACGCATAAACAACAAACTGTAGGCGCTGACAGGCTTCCGAATCGTAAATACTGAATTAGATCTATATGCAGTGTAACATTTGTAGCCCTAATTGTGTGGTGTATCGCATTCTTTGCTGATCAACATGCATGAAATAACACAATGTCACGATCGCCAGATCTTATGACTGGCGTATGTCATTTAAATCGAAACAAGGTCTTCAAACATTCGGATCATTAATTCGATTTCCTGAGCCGGAATCAGGAAATTTAGGAGAAGAGGGTGATTTGATCAAAATAAGAATGAAGTCGAAATCAGAAAAACTGAAACGCTCTCAATCTTTACCTGATGGAGATGAGGTTCAGGAAGAAAACGGTGTTTTGTTTTGGGTCAACAAAAGTGGTTTTCCAATTGAAGATAGAACTTGGCAGAGAATGTGGGATCATGTTGCCAAAATCCACCCTGAAGGACACAAAATGGTGCAGGGAGTGAGACAGAGCAAAGAGTTAGTTACGGTAATAAAAACAGTTTCTACAATTGTATTTCAAGAATGATATTTACACATGATATGGCTGTGATATAGAATGAGGAATGAGTCATGCAGTGCGAGGGAGCTGAGTTTCTATCCCGCTTTGAATACAACTCCATTTACCCTGTTTATGAAATAGAATGATATCACATACATAGCTAGAGAGAAGTCGATAAGTGACAATACTGTTGAGCTAATTGATACTTGATGCACTGCTCTTGGTACTTGCTGCAATATTTGGTACTTGTTCAAGATTATTGCAGTGTGCATGTATGTGTGTGAGTGCATGTGTACATGCATGTGAGCTAGTACTAGTCTGCACTAATGTCGGTTTTATAGTGCTAGCCCACTGAGATACAACATGTACAATGCCAGTTTTAACATAGATACCCCACTTAGATACAGTATACTGACTCCGAGCCAATAGGTCCTTGTATCCTCTTAATACAGCGTTTGAAACTAACATTTTTAGTCCACTAGTCCTTATAATTATAACATATGGCAAAACCCATGTGATATCTTAACTATTGGGCAGTTTGGCAAGGACTAAACAGGAGTGACAACTTTTAACTCTGCTTAATGCCGAGTGCCAGGCAGGGTAACAACAAGTACCATCTTCTGCTACAGCACAGAGTGAGGATGGAACCACCAACCTGCTCTCCGAGGAGATGCTCTATCCAATAGACCACTGAGGCGGTTTACCTAATGTGATATGTGAGGGTCCTGCCACACTACACAAAGACATAACAAACTGGCAAATTGTCAGATGTAACAAGTTTTTTCATCTTTTAGGACCAACTGTTTCATCAAAAATTAAGTTCTGGGCTTAACTACTGAAAATATGAAAACACAACAAAAGACTCCATTTCATTCAATTTTAATGAATCAACTGTCTTCAAATTCAAAAGTACAATCATACACTATTTGCCACACTAAAACATCATGCAATACAATGAAGGAGACTAGGGCTGGCTATCGATATAGATCATAGAGATTGATAATAGCTAACTAAATATTGATCAATTATCGATAAATATTGGAAAGATAACTTTAAGTAAATATGCAAGAAAATCCCGAAAGAAATCAACATATTTCACACCACTGGTGAGCAGTGACACATTTATGCATAGATTATGTTGTGAACATTTGATATATAACAAACACATATGCTTTTCGTCTTCAAAAAATGACATGATTGATAATAACATGTCTGTTTTGGTAAATCTAAACATTGTTTTATCCACTAGTCAAATAGCCTAATAGTATATGATTTTTAATGTCTATAATGTCTATGTATAAGTTTGACATGTCACTCTGTCGTGTGGCCAAACCCTCATGTTTCACATTGGGATCTGACTGCCTCCCCAGATAGAGCATCTCCCCAGAGAGCAAGTTGGTGGATGCATCCTGGACCTGCATTATACAGATGACGTTAAACGATGGTACTTGTTGTTACCCAGCCTGGCGCTCGGCATCAAGGGCATAAAACAAAGGAATGTTCAGCTTGGAATCAGTGTACTGTGTCTGAGTGGGATATACGATTGAACAATTAATAATCCCCAGGAAGATGGATGGATAAAAAACTAATTAAAGCACATTTAGTAGCCTTCATGACTGCAATTGTGGGTACGGGTGGTCTGAGTCGTCTAAGGTGCCCCAATTCGCTGTGCAGAGTTGTGTCCCTTGGGCACGCCAGAAACCTGTGATTGTGGGTTATAATCTCTGTTCAGCTAGATTATGTTTTTAGTTTTGTCAGCATCATACCCGTGCTCATTGGTTTCACCAAAGTGGTAAACGTCTGAGACCTGCATCACTTCGGGCTTTCCTCCAACATTAAGATGACACGCCATGATATAACTGGAATACTGTTAAAAGCGGCATTAGACCCAACTCACTCACTCACTCACAACTGCAAAACATGGTTATCAACATGCCACCTACAACAAATATAAAAATGACAGTGTCCCTTGTAGCATGCACAAACCGATGAACTAGTCCACCAGAGTTACCTTCACTTATTATTGATTACACCAAGCTCCTAACCAGCACGTGACACCTTCGTTATACTCTCGGTAACATCGCTGCCACCAGTGTGGGCGCAGCCATAACAAGAATCTTGAAGTTTGCCCTCTAACCCCAAATGTAGTAACGTTTAATTCTTTTGTTAATGTCTTTGGGAATGCCATCATATTTCATTTCACAACTGACCATGTTTTCCAGATGAATTTACTTTGTTGTTTGTATAATCAAATTGGTTTGAGACTGCAGACTAACGGAAAATCAACCAACTCCCCCCTTATATTCTTACTATATCAATTACATGATAGTTTTAATGAAACAGAAATTCAAATTGACAATCAAAGAAAATAATTTAGCAGCAGTAAGTGTATTCGGCGTCATGGCAGACGTCACTTGTTTGTAAACCTAACGGTCATTCGGCTGTGAGTACAACTCCAAGCATGGTTGTGGCCACCTATCACAGTGGGGAGTTTTGATTTGTGGCAGCGATAGTAGAGAGAGTTCCATGAACGGGCTATTGCTGTGAGGAGCTTGAGGTTACACTAAAACACTCCAGAAGGAATTATCTCCCCTTGACCAGGTTTAGAAGCAATAAAGGGATCCTATTCCCTGAAATTCTATTGAAATGTAAATGAAGAGGTGATACAGAAAAAATTATGCTGTATGGTTATGTAAATGATGATGCTGATTATGATTATGATTTGTATCACCAGATCCCGGCACCACAGGCTCCACTTAGTTTCTCACCCACAGTTCCGATTGGAGATCGGGTTGAGAAGATTCAGAACTACATGACAGAACTCCAGTATCCTTCATATTTCAAGGCCACACTAAATTATTTTTAAATTTATAAAAGTATTTTCTTTTAAAGTTAATAATGAAATAAAATATCAAAAGGGTTCCCTTAAAGTCACTTAGTCCTGCACCATGACTGTGGAATTTATATTTTTTAGGTTGTTTTTCCTTTTTGATAAAAGCCTAGGCAAGTCTAGATCAAACTGACCAAGTCTAGTTTGCTTGATTCCACAGCAGAAGAGGAAAGTTTCTTTCGAAGAATTTTTAAAAAATTATATCAAAGAAATGTTTTCATTGACTATGATTGTGTTAGTCTAAAGTGACTCTTTGACATTCTGTTTGTGTTTGATGGACAGAATGCCGAATTATTTGTACAGGAAGATTTTTCTGTGACGTTCAAAATATATTTTTTTAGCAGATAGGATATATGTGCTTGAAAATGAAACAATGGTGTAATTCAATTCTTCTTCTTCAAAAGTTTACAGTTTTGAAGAATCCCAGAAATGAACATGTCCATCTACAATGCAGTTGCCACAGATACCTATTCAGTTCTTGCCTCATCATTGAGTCTTAATTTTCTAACATGATCTGACTGATATATAGAAATTGAGGAGCTTTCTTAACACAGGAAGATATAATCACACAGGCACACAGTTTTTTGAAATCAGGAAAAACAGACCAATATCAGGGTGAGTAGGCATGGTAGAACCTCTCTAGTTCAAACCTCCTTAATACAGGAATCCTCCTTTCTGGGCAGTTACTTTGTGTGTGTGTTGTTAAACACCGCACTCAGCAATATTCGAGCTCTGTGACGGCGGTCTGTAAATAATCAAATCTGGACCAGACAATCCAGTGACTGACATCATGAGCCTTGATCTACACAATTGGGATACGATGACATGCATCAGCCAAGTCATTGAGTGTGACCACCCAATCCCATTTGTCTCGTCTTACGATAAGCATGAGTTGTTAGACCTATTCGAACCTGGACAATTACGGTTGGGAACATATGATTAGAGAGATGTTTCTATGTACCCATGAATTTTTAAGTTTGTTAATCCAGAAGATTACGTTTAGGATGATACTGTCCAGATTAACAGGGTTCCACTGTAATACATATCATTTTCATTATGTGGCCAAGGAGAGAATGGACAGATGTATTACTGTGAAAAGTGTCGAGAATATTTTCATAATTTCATTATGAAACACAAGTTAAGCATCACAAGTTATAGATGAAAAAGTGAGGATGGAGTGCTGTCAAGTTTCAAATATAATGTGGTTGAAACAGTTATAATAACAAACCAAACAGTTGCCAAATATCATTTCATCCATCCTAGTCTTAGAACATGGATAATGTTTCACATGCTTTTAGATGCTTTCACATGTTTTTTGTCTCCTTTCAGACTCATGGAATGCGCCAAGGAAATGATCCGCGAGTCTCTTCCCATCAAATGTCTGGAGGCTGTTATACTAGGGATGTATCCTTGAAAGAACATTATTCTAATGTAATCATACTTGTGATGTTAGGCCTGGGAGATCAAAGCTTTTGGTTTATCTTGCTGGTTCTGTTATACTGTGAACAGGGAATTTTTTGCGACCGTTTTATTATTGCGAGTTTTGTGAAGGAGACTCAATCGCAAAAATTAAAAACGCAAAAATAAGTATAAATAATACATACATACTTTATTCATTGCAACACGTCATCGAGTGTTGAAATCATCAACCAGAACCACAAGTTACTCAATAAGTTAAAAACACAAATGAATGCAGAATGGTCACACAATACATCACAAATGACAGTGTAAACAGACCAATTAGTGTCTTCTTATATAGTTTGCATTCAAACTCACAGTCATGACACTGAGTTGAGTCAATTATCGTATTTGATAATTGGTCGCAATCCCTTCCGGTCAACTTTCCGGCCAACTCAGATTAACTAGTTTCGGACAGAAGCTGTCTATTGTTTGGTAATCGAGGGGTCATATCAACACAGCAACTCGCAAAAATATCTCGTCGCAGTATTGTCTTGAGTGTGGTATTCACAATATCTTAACGGCGCAGAAATAAAGCTGTTTACAGTAGTTCCCCTGATGACAAACTTAGGGTTGCTAGGAGAGCTGGGACAAGTCCAGACTTACTTCCCGGATACCCACCCCGATGCCCAACCCTACCCAGGTACCCACTGTAGATCTTAAGAGATAGGTAAAGATTGTCTGATTGGAAAAGGTTTGACTGTAGCCCTGGCAAAATATATTCAGATACACATTTAAAGCGATCTGGTCATGCATACACTGAAGTTGCCCGAAGCTTTATCTTTTTTCAAACATATAAAAGTCAGAAGGAATGGCTGCATAGTCAGAAAGATAAGAGTTCTAGATAATTCTTTTCATTAAACAATATATCATGTGATTAACCACGGTTCGGGTAGTCTGTGGGTACTGAGGTCCTACTCCCTACCCACCCAAGTTACCCGTCCCAGCCCTAGTTACTATACAGACGTCTCTTGGTCCAATGGATAGGGCTTCTGTCCTGAGAGCGAAAGGTTGGTGGTTCAATCTTTGTCCGTATCATAACAAAAGATATCAAAAGATGGTAATTGTTTCCCTACCTGGGGCCTGTTCCACAAAGCGATCTTAGTGCCGTGATTGTTGTAAGCCTATGTTAAAGTATGGGAGTTACGATCATCTTAGCGCTAAGATCGTTTTGTGGAACCGGGCCCTGGTGCTTTGCATGAAGGGGCTAAAACAAGGACTATTCGGCTTGGAGTCAGTACACTGTGTCTGAGTGGGGTATTCATGTTAAAGTGTTGCATGGTATCTCAGTGGATAGGCACTAGTCCGGACTAATACAAGCAGCCACATATGCATGTCGTTATATAAGTGCAATAATCTTGATTACAATGTTAAACCCCATTTCACCTCACTACATCGTTGAAGCAATGCTGATGTGATGTTAATGTTAAACTCACTAACTCATTAAACAAGGGTGGGGTACCTGTCCAGATTATTAACATAATGAATACATGTACACATGCATAATGCATATCATGTTTATGGGACAGAGTGTGAATTATGCATATACACCCTTGACCACAAGAAGATACCTGACCAATGGCATGATGGGTGTTGAGCGTTATCCAATCAGTTTCAAGAGTACATTTCAGGGCAGTGTTCATCGGCATGTGGTGCTGGGAATTTCTCATGGTGGTCGATACGGTGCTATTGGTATGAGCCGGAGGGAGGATCTCATGTATAAGCCTCTTGTCTTTAAGGTAAGTTATGATGGTTTTATCAAAGAATTTACTTTAATATGTTTTTGTGTTTGTGGTGGAATAAACATAAAAATCAGTGTGCATACTGTGTAAATCCACAAAGCAAAAACATTGAAGCCAAAAAATATAAATAAATATGTCAACAATAATAAGTTCGCAGACTATGTAAATCTATTCTGTTATCAGCCAATCAGGAAACCATAGTCTGTTAGTGGTTGGTTGGTTGGTTTGTTGTTTAACGCCGCACTCAGCAATATTCCAGCTATATGACGGCGGTCTGTAAATAATCGAGTCTGGACCAGACAATCCAGTGATTAATATCATGAGCATCGATGCACGCAATTGGGACCGATGACATGTATCAAGCAAGTCAGCAAGCCTGACCACCCGATCCCGTTAGTCGCCTTTTACGACAAGCATAGTCGCCTTTTACAGCAAGCATGGGTTGCTGAAGACCTATTCTACCCCGGAATCTTCATGGGTCTAGTCTGTTAGTGAGCATATATGAAAAAGAATAGCTTGGTCAATCATTCAAATGCCTCGGAATCACATTTATTTATTAAAGACAATGTTTTATATTATTTTATACTTTTTAACAGTAGGGTTTTCACTAAATATGTTTGATGCACCGGATCTTTGTTCCAATCTTTAGTGTTTATCACATCCCCCCCCCCCCCCCCCCCCAATTATTTTTTTACATTTTATTTTATTTTTAACCCTGAACTGTGTGAAGTACAGTGAACGCTTATAACAAACTGATAGATATAACGAACTGCTTTTGGGTACTGTCCATTTGCTGTTTATATGCTGTATATATGATTATAACGAACTGCGGTTATAATGAACTAAGATTAGTGGTCCCTTTGTTCATTATATCCTTGTTTGCTGTTATCAGAATTTGAACAAAAGGGAAATTCCAATGTGGTCGTGAGTTTGAAATAGATTCATTAGAATCAACAGCACCCAATCTCTACGCTGCATCATGTGACACATTCAATGATTCGTTGCTCTGTAGGGAAGGAGATATTACTGTACATAGCAGGACATCCATCAACACACACACATCAATTTTGTGGCATGCATCTCTGAGAAGTTACTCACTATTCGTTAACGCTATATTCAGTAGTATTCCAATATTCCCCGGGATTTACCAGACTCAAAATCCTTCATCCCAAACGCATAAAAATTCAGATGCTGCTACTTCATAATGTGGTACAACTTAAGATGTTTTCTTTACATAATCATATAAAAGGTTTCAACACATAGATTTCTTTCAGTTGTCACACTCCATTATCTAACAGCCTCTGAGTATGTGCAATCTTACGTCCTGTGTGGTACAGTACTGTATTTTTAGCCTTAGACCCTCATTTATTAACCTGGCACCCATAGATTTAAATGATTAAAGGACCCTGGACCCCCAAAATAACCAACCAGGTAAATATGGGTACACCGTAAGATTCCACTAAAATTTGGATTTGTCTGGTTAAAATGGGTGATATAATGGTTAACTTGAATATTACAGACAGGTGACGAAACCATTACTCGCTCTGTGAGAGTACACCATTAATAAATAGAGGATTCATCACGAGTGTTTTTTAATATGGGAAATATCAACTGAGTCTTAGTTAATCGGTATTTGCCGAGCCTTTGGCGAGGCAAATACCGATTAACGGGACGAGGTTGATATTTCCCATATTAAAAAACACGAGTGATGAATTCTATTTATCATTTTCACATTTTTGCTTCCAAATTAAGGAATAATTGCATTAAACATTAACATCAGCAACTTGTCGAAATCTTACGTATAGATCGTGCGTAGTGATACATGTTTTCCATAGCCATGTAAACCAAAATAAACAATTCGCTGAGAAAAAGTACCTCGGATTATTTTAAACAAAATACTTGAACAGACTTTTGCAGAATAATTGAAACTTTAATAACGGTAACAACAACGATTCTGTGTAATCTGATTATATCTCTGGTGTAACTTCACTTATAATATATAGTTTCAAATCAAACCGCTCGCTCTTCCAGTTATCTAATTTGCATATCTAATTTGCATACTTATGTCATTGGGGTATGACATACATGGTTTTATGTCATAAGCTTATGTCATGGATAAATGCTTAAGTTAAATGATAAATACATATATGTCACAGAAGGAAATGTTAATCTGATATTGCACCTTTTCCTGGAAACCATGGACTACTCTCAAAAGTAATGTTGTCCCTCTCTTTCAGAGTCTATCCGACCTGGTGTTCGACTTCGAGAAGGCCTACACGAAATGTGAGAAGTGTTTTAACAGTCTGATACTAAACTAAAATAATCTTATACAGGGTGCACACAGGGCTTGAAAACACCTTGAATTTTAGAGTTTGTCTAAAAATCAACATTTGCCTTGGAAAGACCTTGAAAATTAAACCCTAACTACACATCAACGCTTTTTAAACTATGTATAGACAAAAATACAAAAACGCTTGTGAATATCCTTGAACATATGCAATAATGCTGCATGAAAACGAGTAATTTAAAATTATAGCTGAATTTGCATGCCTTGTTTACATGAAGATTGCTTGAATTATGAGTGTTCTAATGAATGAATGCGATTGCAATCCGATATTTGTCTTGAATTTTTCAATTGCTTTGAAAAAGCCCTGAAAAGGCCTTGAATTTGTTGAGGAAAAGTCTGTACCAACCCTGATATACTTAACACTGCAAAATACAAGAACTATGTGAAATCTGTTACTGACACAAACTATTATTTTAATGAGATGAAAGTTAAGGAAATAGCAGCAGGGGAATCTTTAGTCCACTAGTCCTTATAATGATGACATATGGCAAAACCCTTAAAAATGGCAAATTTCTACTAGTCCTTATGATACTTAACAAATAGGCAGTTTGGCATGGACTACAGGACTAGTGCCAATTTCTAACGCTGTATACATGGTATAGGTTTTACATTTTGAACCAAACTGGCAAAACATTGTTACTTTCCTCAATCTCTTACTTTCCATTAAATTACCATTGTTTTAGGATACAGTCTGGAGAAAAACATAGGAAATGTGTTGTTTGTATGCTAATGTGACACTTTTAAGTTTTAGGTTTATGAATATTGCTTATCATTATAGCAGAAACTGCTGTTGGGAATTAAAAAGACAAAATTCTCTTTTAATGCCCTTTTAGTATCCTTGTGTCTGTTAGAAAATACTTTATAAAAAGAAAACAGTTTGGGTTTTTTAATCTTTTAAAAATATCTGTTAACAGAAAATAAAATGCGTTGCTTTAATATGAATGTTGGTTTTTGCGTCATGTGACTGGCCTCTCGTCCAATTAAACCCCTGTATATCATTTGAACTTCACCAAAATATTACTCCAACGGATGTAGTATGTATGTAATTGTGTTCCAGACTGGCATGAAGTAAGGAAGGTCAAGGTCGGTCTACCAAGTCCACACGACCCTCACAGCTACGAGACAGTCCAGTGGAAGGTTGGTTGTTTTTTAATATTCTGCATAACTAAGTGCAAAACAATCTGTCAGTATGTGGTTGAATATATCAACTGACCCGTGAAGATCCGGGTTAGAATAGGTCTTCAGCTACCCATGCTTGCCGTAAAAGGCAAGTATGCTTGTCGTAAGAGGTGACTAACGTGATCAGGTGGTCAGGCTCTCTGCCTTGTTGGATGCATGTCATCGTATCCCAAATGCGTAGACTCCATTATTTACAGACCGACGTCATACACCTGGAATATTGCTGAGTGCGGCATTAAACAACAAACAAGCAAACAAAACAAAACATCAACTGTCAACTGGAAGAAATGCTCCTTAAGTCTGTAACAGTAGTTCCTTCAATTGTTACATTCTCATTTTCAGACGCTGACTCTGAATGTGTCAAAACTATCAAGGAAAGAAATGACCCGAGAATTAGAGCAGCACTCCAAATTAATACGAGCAAAGGTGAATATGTTTCCCTTTGTCATGTTCCTGATATGTCTGATCCCCTCCACATCACACTACTAGCCAGAACCCTCAGTCTAGTCTGTTGTGGTGGTCCCCATTGGCATTCCAAGTTGGAGCCTAGCAAGCTTGCTGGTCATAAGAGGCGACTTAATGAATCGGGTGGTGATTTGGTTGATGGCGCGTCACAGTCCCCCGACGATGGGAATCATTGCTCAGAATATCAATCACAGGATTGCCTGGTCCAGACTTCATTATTTACAGACCGCCGTCATATAGCTGGAATATTGCTGAGTGGGGCGATTAACAACAAACACACACAGTTGCTGTGGGTCTAAGAGTACGGTTGTTTTAAAAATTCTCAAAATCTAATTTGTGCAAGCTGGTAATGTGTTGGTTGTGTCTTGCCAGGCCAAGTCGTGGAGCACTCCACCCAATCTACCCAAGAAGATGGCCACCTTCATAGATGCAGGGCGGGACATGCCTGGCACAAGCAAGTCCTCTCCAACAGTCAAGATGACACGATCGTAAGATTCCCCAACTCTTTGAAAACCTAATGTACAGTTTCATGTTAGAATTGGTCTTAAAACTGGAAATCTAAGCAAGGATTACGTTACCAAAATGGTGAAGTGTCACTTGTATGTGTATTAACTTGATAAATGACCATATTGTGACAGTTTTGGTTGATTGACTAACAATGTCAACTCTTACTCTATTTAAAGGCTACACTACAAATAAAACTAACTAGAACCAGTTACTCATAAACTTCTTCATGAACATGATGAAGATTTACCATATCTGCTTCAAGAATCACTTACGTACAGCCACTCATATTAGGCTTGTCAGCATTCAAGTTTATTTATGAGTCTGATGAGTTATCTCCCTTTAGTTAGCATCTGAATGCCAAAAAGTATCACAATCCTGGATTGTTGACCATCTGCCGTTCATTTCCAACAGAAAGTCTAACATGATTGTCAATAAATATCAAGATGTTAGAACATTGCTTACAATGCTATGGTCAGAATGTTGCGGTATATGTTGACGAATTTGCTGATGTTGTATGGATGTTGCAGACACTCGGTTGTGACAAAGTCACGTGAAGAACCGGCGTCCGTCAAGTCTGGCAGCAGTCGAGGAGCAGACTATCAGATCAGGATATAGACGGATGTAGCACAAGCAGAAGGCAGATCTGAGGAATGCATTGCTATTGCTGACTTCTTATTATCATGGAGATACACATTCCAAGGCTGTGACTATTTTTATTGATGGCTGTGACTATTTTTATTGATGGCTGTGACTATTTTTATTGATGATCATAATCATCAAATTATATGAGTACACATATCATTTTGTCATATTTTATCCTTTCACTTGTACATGAAATCACGGGATGATCTTCTGTAGATTTTCATATAACTGGTGAAGCTGAGAAAACTAAGTCAATTAAAATTTAGCCTTGGGGGTAGGCCTATAGTTTCTCCTTCATGACAGCAAATGTAGACATGATCTTGTTCTCTTTATCATACCAATCATGGACTAATAAGTTTTCTCTAATTTATTCATATCTTATTGAAAATTCAGCAATCAGTATACATGTATTTCATAGGACCGTGGCCCCATTTTGGTATGCGGGACTTAGCAGTGGGATATGCGGACCCAAATACATACCGTATTCTGCGTAATAAGCGCTCCGCTCTAATAAGTGCCCACAGCGATATTTGCTAATATATTGGCCATTGAACAATCCTAATTAGTACCTCTTCCACTTGATCAATGTACACAAGACTTATTTATTCATGTATAATACGCACTCATGCGTTATATGCACCCCATAAAATCTGGAAAAATATATCTGTCATGTCTAATACACACAGACTTTTCTGTTGTATCATTTCAGGCTGTCAGCATAAACCACAAAATTTACTATCTTTGAGCTCTTTTTTTTCACCAAAATTTTATTCAAATAGGAGCCCCCTATCTCTAATTTTGAGAGCGCCCTGGGCGCTTATTATGTCAAATACGGTTTGTATTTAAAATGCAGATTCAACATTAAAAAAATTATAATGGATTTAAAAAATTCCTATGACTATATTATTTTTTAAATGGTTTTTTTCAGTAATTTAACTTCAAATCACAGCCTTTTATGACCTATAGGACGTGTTTATAGGAAAGTATTTGTCTATAAAAATGACACTCTGCCCTTGTAGAGTTTATTCTGACGTGCTTTTGAGATTTGTTTTCATTAGTAATCGAGAATCAGGGTTGAGGAAAGGAGACTGAGTGAAGGATTAGATGGCTTTCAGGGGAGTTGGGGTGGGCACCAAGTAACTATACGTTCATTTGAAGCAAAGCATAGTATTTGGCTTTGCTGGGACAGTTACCGATCCAACTTGTATCATTATCAGTTCCAGTACAGTGATACTATCCAATGAATCACTCCGCTTCAAGCTGCCACGATCCATGACATACTTGTTTCAGTTCTGATGAACTTTTGGCAAGACTCCAAGGAATCTGAACCAGAATGTACAATGAAATTAAATGTAATTGAAATGAATATACATGGATTTCTGGTATACATTTACTTAAGATATCAGTTTACTGACCATAAAACATAATTTAATAATACCATAACTTTGTCAGATCAACACATATATAATGCAAGTACCAGTGAGAGAGCTATACACATATCCCACTGATATACTGTATCAATACTAATAGTGTTGTTATTGTTTCATAAATCTTCTTTTGACAATCTGTGTTGAATCTTTTTTGTGTACTATTGTCCAGTGTAGAGTAATGCAACATGTTGTGAAATGGGGTTTAATATCGCGTCCAAGATTACTGCACTTATATAGCATGTGCGTGCGTGCGTGCTTGTACTAGTCTGGACTGATGCCGATTTATACCCAATGACATTCCATGCTACAGTTTAACATGAATACCTCACTAAGACACAGTATACTGACTCCGAACCAACTTTTAACGTTGTTTGGTATGACGCAGCCGCGGATCGAAACCCTCGACCTTCTGCATTCTGCTCGGCTGCTCTACCACTAGACCATGGAGGCGGTACAACATGTCTGGAGTGTAGATGGATGGGTGACTGTGTTTCACAACATGTCTGGAGTGTAGATGGATGGGTGACTGTGTTTCACAGCATGACTCCTGAGACTTTCTAGGGCTTCAGTCCTAACCAGATGCACACATTACATGGTGTCTCAGCCAAGAGACTTTGTTCGAATATGCCTCTGTTCACCCAGCAGTGAATGGGTACCCGGTAGGATGAGAAGGTAATGTCATTGGTAATTTTCTAGCGCATCACAGCCTGGATAGATAGATATCAAAGGAAAGTTCTTCACGCAGACCAGTCCAGTTTGGTGCAGTTTGGTCCGGTTAAAGAACCAAAAGAAATCATGAAATAGATGAACATGTAACCTAACTTGCAGAAAGAATGTCATGGAAATATGTTTTAGAGATTTATTGTCCTGCTACTGTATAAATGTTTGCATGAGGCGGCACATTGTCCTGTGCGTAGTGCACAGGTCAGCCATCAGATGAAGTTGCTAAGGTGATCGTAACTCCTATACCTTAACACAGAATTACGACAGTCATAACGCTAAGGTTGTTTTGTACCACGTCACCCATGGCTTCAGACCCACACTGACACAGTGTTATTGAACCTGTTGGTCTCACGAAGGAATTGAAGAAGTTTGAAATTTGCCTGTTCACTATGTAAAGAATACAATGCACAAAAACCCAAATTTATGCAGATAATTCGATGGAACATGATGGCAGGCTTATGTGCAGTCTAAGATATGATGTCCCAATATTGCACCCACATGTACTTTGAATTATATTGCCTACGACAGAATTTTCGCTTTGGTAACACCAAATATTGTAGTGGAAAAGGTTGAATCAAGGTCAAATCTTATATCACATGCACCACATGTTAGGCCCCACTGATAACTATACCTATGCCAAAAACAAAACATTTTGAGAAATGAAGGGAGATTAATCACGTTAAAAGCCAATATAGGGTTTCTAATTATGGTGGCCATGTTTAACATCAGATGAAAATCAAGTGAGCAGTTCTTTTAGGAAACACAATAGCTATGTTCAATCATGCAAAGTTTCTTGTAGTTTCAGAGGTGATGTCAAATACACTGGAAAAATCGGGGATGTGTAAGTTAAAGGTCATGGTTGGGACAAAATATGCAAAAAAACAAACCATATCTTAATTGGAAAACCACATACTTTCTGCACAGAGCATTTCATAATGATACATTAAACATGATTAAGGCAAATCTTGTAAAGTGATTAACTGCATAATCAAGAGACGCTAACAGCCATCTTTGTAAGAAAACAAAATAAAAGACAACATGTTACATAAACTTCACGGTTTATCAACAAAAATTAAATGATTTCCACATATAAATCAAACAGACATGTTGGATATCATAAACTGATTGGACAGCAAAAGTTGAAATCAATATCCATGCAATGTAAAATATATTGTCTGATTTTTGGCTTCTGTAAAACTGTCTATATGCAAAATACTGTGTGATTGTTTCATAATAATGGGAATTCTCAATGATGGTTAACATAATGACATTCACCAAACTACATGCAGTTCTTCAATATACATGTAGCACTCAACACTATTCCATTTACAAGAGGCGAACCTAAGGTCCGGTTCATCAGAATCTTAACAAAACATGTGGTTCTCAGGCAAAGGTTGTTGGAACTTGGTGCGTGTGGATGACGCCCTTGCTTCATATCCAACACTCCGGGCAACCCAGGACACAAAATTTTCATTCTTTGTGAATTTCTTTCAGAAAATGGTGCAGGGTGCTTTTTCAAATTAAGCTGTGCCTGAGATCTAGGAAGCAGTTGGATGTAGCTATACGTAGTGACTAAATGTCACTCTTCCCTCCGCATATGTCCAGTGATAAAGAAATTATCTCAAATCAACACTAATAAATAAATAGTTTTCATAGAAACACAACAAAATCAGATGAGGTATGTAACAATGAGTGTGTATGTAGTATTTTTCACTTAACCAGTCCTTGAGGCTAAACGATTGCCAATCATAATCTCTGGCTAAAATCGTCCAGTGGTTTAATGGTGCCTGCAGCCACATCACTTTGTGAGAAGGAACGTTGAGATGAGGGGGACATGGTCGGAGGGACACGAGGGGTTAGGCAGCCCCCCTAGACTAGATATCTCCCGTTGTGACATCAGTCCATACCTCCGCAACAGCTTCAACGGTCCCTCATTGATGTGGCGTGTGTATATCTTGTTGTTTCGAGTCTTCACCTCTTTGTGGAGTACATTATAGAAGATGAAGTCGACAGTACATGATCCTGCACTGTGCTGCGTCGTCACCTCATTCCACTGATGATTTAACCGAGCTATGGTATGATGGTAAGAGGACACAAAGTTTAGTCTATGCCACAGCTGTCCGGAACCCATTGAAAAGTACGAAAAGTCAGAAGGGCTGGACGAGAACCCATAGGAATTCCCCATTGGACTGAGATGAACTCCGCTAGGCCGACCTCGAATGTCTTGTAGGGCCTCAGTTGGGGCGGACGGAGCTGGGCGGATGTTGTCTGGGAGATGGGAGGGATCGTTTCCTCCTGTACTGGAACTAAGTGACGGGCAATGGTCCTTCTTTCCCGTTGATGACGCCATCTCAGATGCACGTGTATCAATAACATTTCGGTACTGGCACTGGTCTGTGATTCCAAATGAGGGACAAAAGAAATCCTGTTTGAGACGAACATCACGTCCATAACGTCCATCTTTCTGTCCTGAAAGGAACCGAGCTATAAGACCTTGGTACTGAAGATAGCCGCGGGCAATAAACTTATACAGATCACTATGAGGCTCTGAGTTGAAGTCTCCACACAGCAACACAGGGCTGTAACTGACGGGTGATGTCCGGTCACTGGAACTATTAAACGCACATTTGTCTAACTCGGCCATGAGGACCATGAGCTGACCTAATTTGACGTCGCCACGCCGTGGGTTGAACAGGAGATGTGTGTTAGCAACACACAGCTTACCCACTCTGCCCTGGTAGACATTCGTCCGAGGGACCAGCTCCAGGATCAAGGCAATGTTGTCCCGGTCCAACAGCCCGCCTCTGCAGTACTCCACAGGAGTTGTGTTACCCAGAGAGAACCTGTCCTGCTTGTAGAACGTAGCACAGCCATCACACTTGTCTCCTGTCCTCTTCATATACACTCCTCTGTAGCCTGGAAAACACATTTCACTTTGAACAGTTTTTCAGCTATATCTCTGCATTTATGCCACTTTAATGCCACTTTGAACATTATTCCAGTTATATCATAGCTTTGCTGCTTAATGTGGGTTGGTTGGTTGGGCTGGGACGAGTCCAAATTTATTACCCGGGTACCCACACCCCTATTACCCGACCCTACCTGGGTACCCGCTGTTGGTGTCAAGAGTTAGGTACAAAATGTTTGACAGTAGCCCTGGCACAATGTTTTAAGATACACGTATAAAATGATGTGGTCATGCATACACTGAAGTTGACTGAAGTTTTAACTTTGTTCAAATATATTTAAGTCAGAAGGAATGTGTTCAGTCATGAAGAAATGCGAACATTAGAGACTTAAAATTGTTGTGTAACCATGTACTTATATTGTGAATTTCTGTCATGAAACAATATATCACGTGACTCACCACAGGTCCGGGCAGTCCTGTTGGTACCCGGGTCCTACTCAGTACCCACCCGACCTGGGTACCCGAGTTACCTGTCCCAGCCCTAGTAGCTAGTTTGACCAGAAAACACACCCTCAGAAAACCAGGTACTGCCTCCCATTAAATTTCAGATAGCTTTCCAGATGAAAGTTATGAAATTCTTACACCTACATAAGCACCCACGACTCATTCCTTATGATGGGTTGTAACTTGACCTACCGAGGTTTTCCAACTGTGGTTTGAAGAAGTCCTGGTAGTGGTCCTCCTGAACCTCCTGCAGACACATCACCTGAGGACAGAGTACGCACCAAGGTGAAGGTCATTGCTGAAAGAGTGAGTGAGTGAGTTGGGTTTAACGCCGCGTTAAACAGTATTCCAGTTATATCACGGCGTGTCAGCTTAATGTGGGAGGAAAGCCCGAAGTGATGCAGGTCTCAGACGTTTACCACTTCAGTGAAACCCACGAGCACGGGTATTGCTGAAAGAATCATCAAAGCATACTCTTCACTCTGAAACCCATTGTGATATTTCATTATATTACTAGCTGGAGAAGAGATCACCTGTTTAATAAACATACATTGTGTAATTCCAAAGCGCGTGCTTATGTACTGCGGGAACAAGTTTCACTAACAAATATTATTCAATAACACTGCGTGTAGAGATGAAAGATCACTGAGTGGAGCTAATGCACCCTCAATGAGTGAGTGAGTTGGGTTTAACGCCGCTTTTAACAGTATTACAGTTATATCGAGGCTTGTCAGCTTAATGTTGGAGGAAAGCCCGAAGTGATGCAGGTCTCAGATGGTTACCACTTCGGTGAAACCCATAAGAACGGGTATGGTGCTGTCAAACCTAGAAACATAATCGGGGGAACCGGGATTCGAACCCACAATCATAGGTTTCTGCTGTGCCCAAGGGACGCAACTCTGCACAGCGAATCTTGGCGCCTTGGACGACTGGCCACCCATGCTCCCACACACTCAATGACCTCAGCAACCCTGGTTGCTAGGCATGGCATTGCATAAATAACATCTACCCACATGGTATGTGTTCTTTTCTAGTTGTAGAAAAATTATTGTATGTTTTCACTGATAAGTTTTTTAAATATAGCTACTTAAAATTCTGTAAAAGGGCCAAAGTCACTTTGCTAGATTTTGGACAATTTAGCTCTCATTTCCATGTGTGGTTGAGACTGGTTGTTCAAGAGAATTAGAATGTTTGGAAACATTATTATTATGTTTCAACTATTTCAACAAAGTTGAAAACCATTTAAAAGAGCTTGTTTATTCTTTCAGCAGTAGTTTTACCAATCTCACATGTTAAATCCCATGCAAATGCTAGAGGTATAAAGGGCCAAAATACAGACACTGGCCCTTTCCACCCTTACACAAATTAAAAACGTAAGTTTATTTCCTTTTTTTATTTTTTTTTATAACAACATTTATATCTCTGCTGTCAGAATGTTTTAAAGTTTAGGAATTTATCGGAGAATAAAAAATGTTCATTGGCATGCATATGGTTATGGTTTTCATTCCTTTTGTCAAAACGGACTCCACATTGGCCCTTATGGCTCTATAAGCCAGCGTTAGAAATTGGCATTAGTCCTGTAGTCCTTGCCAAACTGCCCAATAGTTAAGGTATCATAAGGACGAGTAGAAATTTGCATTTTTTTAGGGTTTTGCTATATGTTATTATTATAAGGACTAGTGGACTAAAAATGTTAGTTTCTACGGCTGTAAGCTCTTCAGTTGGATTAAACTGTTGGTCGCATAAATGTCTGCCTTTTCACACACTACAGTAAAATTATTAAAAACCTATAAACGGCAAGTAATCAACAAAACACTAAACGAGCTCCAGTAATACCAACCTTATAAAAAGTGTGAATAGTTATGGTATCTGACAAGCGAAAGCATTTCTATATTTATTCTATACCCACACCAAAACAAACTACCTACATCTGGAGAGTGAGAAGTTATTTCCTCCAGAAGACGTTCCCGCCGATATTTCCATTGCAAGGCCTGAGCCTCGGCACCCTGGTACAAATACCCATGATCCTCCAGAAGCCTCTGTGCCAGGACGTTGTAGGACATGACAGAGAACTCCAGCCCTGCATATCGACACCTCTGGTGCTCCTGCCCAAACTGTGTGTACTCCCACTCCCGCGGCAGCTTCCCCTGACCTGGAAAAGACAACCATCCATCATTCAAGTGTACAGAGTGATGGACTAAACGATTTAACTGTTCGCTTGTTGTTTAACGCTGTACTCAGCAATAATCCAATGTATGATGTTTAGACAAGACAATCCAGTGATTGACTTCATAAGCATGGGATACGATGACATGCATTAACCAAGTCGGCAAGTCTGACCACCCAATCCCGTTAGTCGCCTCATACAACAAGCACAGGTTGCTGAGATCAATTTATACCCGGAATCTTCACAGGGGCAAGGATTTAACAAATTTGGAAACCATTTTTGATATTCTAAAGGTATTTTCATATTTTATTATAATATTGCATTAACCCTATTTACCACGAGAGCCCAGTTGCTTAGTAAATTGACAAAGGACTTCTTGGATGCTTGGGAAGTTAATATGCTGTTGAGGAGGACAGAAAAAGACTAAAAGAAATTGATAATAGTTCATACTATGCAATCATAGACCCCTACTACATGTTTATGTAGAGCTGTAAATACAACACTGCAATAGCTGCATATATACCATGGCAACAGCTGCATATATTCCATGGCAACAGCTGCATATATACCAACGCAACAGCTGCAAATACACCATGGTAAGTGCTGCATACATATACCATGGCAACAGCTGCAAATATGCCATGGTAAGAGCTGCAAATACCCCATGGCAAGAGCTGCAAATACACCAACGCAACAGCTGCAAGTACACCATGGAAAGTGCTGCATGCATATACCATGGCAAGAGCTGTAAATACACCATGGCAAGAGCTGTAAATACACCATGGCAAGAGCTGCAAATACACCATGGCAAGAGCTGTAAATACACCATGGCAAGAGCTGTAAATACACCATGGCAAGAGCTGCAAATACACCATGGGGAGAGCTGCAAATACACCATGGCAAGAGCTGTAAATACCCCATGGCAAGAGCTGCAAATACACCATGGCAAGAGCTGTAAATACACCATGGCAAGAGCTGCAAATACACCATGGCAAGAGCTGTAAATACACCATGGCAAGAGCTACAAATACACCATGGCAAGAGCTACAAATACACCATGGCAAGAGCTGTAAATACACCATGGCAAGAGCTGCAAATACACCATGGCAAGAGCTGTAAATACACCATGGCAAGAGCTACAAATACACCATGGCAAGAGCTGTAAATACACCATGGCAAGAGCTACATATACACCATGGCAAGAGCTACAAATACACCATGGCAAGAGCTACAAATACACCATGGCAAGAGCTGTAAATACACCATGGCAAGAGCTGCAAATACACCATGGGGAGAGCTACAAATACACCATGGCAAGAGCTACAAATACACCATGGCAAGAGCTGTAAATACACCATGGCAAGAGCTGTAAATACACCATGGCAAGAGCTGCAAATACACCATGGGGAGAGCTGCAAATACACCATGGCAAGAGCTGTAAATACACCATGGCAAGAGCTGTAAATACACCATGGCAACAGCTGTAAATACACCATGGCAAGAGCTGCAAATACACCATGGGGAGAGCTGCAAATACACCATGGCAAGAGCTGCAAATACACCATGGCAAGAGCTGTAAATACACCATGGCAAGAGCTGCAAATACACCATGGCAAGAACTACAAATACACCATGGCAAGAGCTGTAAATTCACCATGGCAAGAGCTACAAATACACCATGGCTCGAGCTACAAATACACCAGTGCAGTGTACTACAGTACATGCCCCCTAACGATCCTCAACACAGAGGTCACAGCGACAGTATGACCAAGGTTCTCACAAATACCTTTACCACTTCCTGACCATGAAAACACTCAACAACAGCAACTGAATAACAATGACTGGTATTTCTGGACAAGGAAACAGGTGTGAAATGTTGATCCAGTATTACAACAAGAACCCACCTTCAGTCCATGACATGTTCAGAGACACGCCCAGGAGTAATAAAACAAACATTGTATGTCAAGCTGCCGACCTCCTGGATGGGCACTGATAGAAGTGCAAAATGGTGACATGTGGTCCTGTGCACTGTGCACACCGCACAGGTCACCAATCAGGTGAAGTTAAGCATCATTGGTCGTAGAGAAACCTCGGATGTGTGACCGCATTTCAGCATCTTGCCTCCTAAGAGTTTCTAGGGCTTCGTCCTGCCCCACTCTGAAACACGTGTAACACACGTGGCGTCTCCTTGGGCAAGTGACTTTGTTTGAAATGTGCCTCTGTTCACCCAGCAGTGAATGGGTACCTGATAGGATGAGATGGCCATGTGGTTTTGTTAACCTTCTAGCACCCAAAAGGCAGCTTGGGTTAAACATGTTAAATACTCCCCAAGGAGATGAGAATGATTGTTGTGTGCACACTGATCTAGTGACCGGTATAATAATAGTGCTTTGAGCATGCCCGTGTGTTGGATATTATGCCCAATATAAAAGGGCCTATTATTATTATTATTTTTATTATTAATGTGAGATGTCCAACTTCTGCCTTTTGATTAAGAAAAACAATCCCAAAATACGAAAGTCATTGCTATCAAGCTTTATCTTGCATAAAACAAATGGGAAATCCCAACATGATTGCTGTTTAAAAATAGATCGATCAGAAGATATTGTGAAAAGAATCCATCTCTTCCAAAGAGAAAAAGCAAAGCAAAAACAGTCCCAAACCCGTCTACAAGCTCCATTGCATTGTTGTTTGTTTGTTTTTTGTTTGTTGTTAATGCCACACTCAGCAATAGTCCAGCAATATGATGGCAGTCTGTAAATAATCGAGTCTGGACCAGACAATCCAGTGATTAATATCATGAGCATCGATCCACTCAGTTGGGATCAATGACATGCATCAACCAAGTCAGCGAGTCTGACCACCCGATACTGTTAGTTGCTTCTGACGACAAGCATAATCGCCTTGTACAGCAAGCATGGGTTGCCGAAGACCTATTCTACCCCGGATCTTCACAGGTGCCACTACATTGTGTGATAATGACAGTCACAAATTGTTATCAGCTTGTTATACTCCTTGCAGGGAAGGTGAGAAACCCAGTAGGGAGCTTGGAGGAATCTCTGCACACACAAAAATGGTTACATCATGATTGGTGCCAAGGTGGCAGTGAAATGAGAGTTAGTGTGCTTAGTACTTTCCACCATTTATTTCTTGTGGTAAAATAAACATTTCTATGGTCAGAGTATATGCAAACACACACTGACCATGGAACATGCAGAAATGAAAAGCAAATCCTGTGTACTGGGTAATACCTGTAAAATACCAGTGAGTACACTTGACCTGCCTTATATTAGTATTAGGACAATACACTAATGCATCGGTGGATCGCAACTTTTACTCCTCAATCATGTCAATACAAGTAGCAATTACAGTCGCACACTGAATACAAAATACTGATTCTTACCTTCAATGTTTGCTTTAAAAACTGTTGCAGTTTTTATACATTAGAGTTTTTCATTTCATGCATGCATTTCTGTACACAAGGGTCAGACACTGGTACTCGTCTGTAAGTAGGAGACAAGTTAAAGATAACCTGTATTCTCAAAAATCTAGTCTAGACCTAAAGAACTGTCAGAGGCGCCTACCCTATTTATGCACTATCAGTAATTTCTGGATAAAATAGGAGTAATTTTATTTATTTGTCAGTAATTAGTTAACTATCAAAGGAATGCTGTTTTTTAACAAATATAGTTTATATTTATTTGGTAACCATGGCAAACCATGTAATATATTTTGTAGAAATTTTAATTACAGCAAAGTTGTAATTGTAGGCACCTTTGAACTGAATACTATTTGGATCTAACTCACTGTTTATGAAAATATTGCTGAAAATTTAATTCCAATGCCAGTTTCTACAGGGAGATCAACCTTAATTCAATTACGTTAATGTTAACTCATTCACTCATTGTTACTGGGAGGTTAATCCTGAAGGCTAACAATGGTCATGTGACATTGGGCCTTAACTTTGACCTGTACACTTGATAATCAGTAACGCCACAGATAGCACCACGGGTCAACAATCCAGTAAGACTTGAACAACATGTTTTATTATGGTAATGTAGGCACAGCAGATGTTCATACATAATACAGTGACCTTTGAACTGATAGACTGACCTTGAACTGGAACCACTTGTTTGCCCGACTTATTTGTGTGTAGAAGTATGCTTTGACCTGCATACACACCACAATACCTGTTCCCCTAGACATGAATAACTCTATGTGCTTAACAGTACATTAACATAACCATCAAAACTGCATTTGTCACAGGAAGGTTTAAATTAGGAACTGGGAGAATTTCCCCTTTGTCCGTCCGATAATGATTCGAAATATTACCATTAACTTATAGGGGACTGGTCATTTATCAAAGAGGGTCTGATGACTGTAAGTTATTTTGCTTACCACCCCCCACCCCCACCCCCACCCCCATTTCATTTACCATTTTTGTATGATCCCTCCTCCTGATCATGACACCCTCAAAGAGATTATTTCTGAAAGTACACACAATCTTGGTGCCAGTGCAAAATTGCTTTCAACCAACAGTTATGGTCCCAACACAGCTTCAACACACATAAGACAGCTCAAAAAGTAGCACTCTTCAAATCCTGAAAATTTATTTTTGCAGATTGAAAACTTGCAGACCAGATAACCCCAAAACTTTAGAAATTAGAAATCTGACAACAAATGAACAAACATGTCAACTCATGACTGATTCAGGGTTTTACTCGACGCACAAATGTGCGTCCAGTACACACAAATGCAGAGAATGGATGCAGAAAGAAATTATGCTGCGTAACGAGGGACGCACAATAACATTCATTATACCTACACATCATCAAGAGCAGTTATGGGCATCTGTTATTTCACCCACCTATCATGACCCACTGTCCACATAATCATTGGCCGTCATATAACTGGAATATTGCTGAGTGCGGCGATAAACAACTGGATTCATTCCAGGCTCTAAAGAAATGATCTTCACGTACAGTACAGTACATCATTTCATTAACTTACAGGACCCTCATACTGCCTGCAAGGACCCTTAAAATTAATTATTGGACATCCCCTGAACCCCCACTTTTGTATGTCACGGAACACCCCTGCTGATTATTAACAAGATAAATTGATCATTTATGATGTCCATTGCTTTATCAAACCAAAGATCAGTCTCAAAAAGTAACCAATTCCCAACTCTAGTAAGTTTACCCAATAGCAAGAATCCTCCCAACAAGTGGAATTTCAGGCTTCCAGGGATGTCCCTCTGTGATTAACTATTCGTAATTTGTGTTTGTTGACTTTCCAAGCTCAATTTCCATACCTTGCATGAATGGCAGCGAATTAGCCAAACTTTAATCACAAATTAAAAAACGCACAGCAAGTGCATCTGCGGCATTGGCTAATCAAGCAATTTTTTTTCATTCATATTTCCATATTACCAGGAAAAAAATAGGCCACACCCACTGACGGACGACTGTTTCCTGATTGGCTGATGATAGGGAACTGTATTTGGTGTGTTAATGATGAAATGAGCAGTCTGTGAAGTTACCATTGTTGATACACAGATTTACACAGTATGCACACTAGTTTCTACATATATACCTCAATAAAAAGCAAATATTGAACGCGCTCTGCTCTAATAATCGCCCCACGGCGATATTAGCTGATATATTGGCTAGTGAACAATCCCAATTAGCACCCCTTCCAAGTGATCAATGTACACAAGTCTTTTCTATTTGTGTATAATACACAGTCGTGTGTTATATGGACCCTTACTTATTGGCAATTAAGTTCTGGAAAAATATATCTGTCGTGTATAATACACATAGACTTTTCTTTTGTATCATTTCAGGCTGTCAGCATAAACCACAAAATTTACGATCTTTCAACAAAATTTCTATTCTAATAAGAGCCCCCTATGTCTAATTTTGAGAGCGCCCTGGGCGCTTATTATGCCGAATACAGTAACTCATATTTCTACTACATAGCACTTACTAACGAACAGCATGATCTTTCAACAAAAAAATTATTCTAATAAGAGCCTCCTATGTCTAATTTTGAGAGTGCCCTGGGCGCTTATTATGTCGAATACAGTAACTCATATTTCTACTGCATAGCGCTTACTAACGAACAGCATCTTTCAACAACAAAAATATTCTAATAAGAGCCCCCTATGTCTAATTTTGAGAGCGCCCTAGGCGCTTATTATGTCGAGTACAGTAACTCATATTTCTACTGCATAGCGCTTACTAACGAACAGCATGATGAAGACATAACTGTCATTCCTACCTGCTATTGCTGGTTCGGCCAGGCCTTTCTCTGGGTCTGTCCTTGGGACATCCTGAATCTGTGGCACTTGGGAAACAGCTACTGCTTGGGGGAGGGAATGGGTTGAGTATTCCCTCATTTGATGGCTTGCTAGTTGTGGGATCAGTTTGGAAGCTGTGATACACTGATTGTGAAACGTCTGAAATTGTCCCCCAGCAGATGAAAATAATTGGGGAATAGAAATCCTAGTCCTCACAAAACATGGGGCATTGTTCAACCCAATGGCACTCTCTGTCACACCTGTTGAAGTCCCAACCCTCTCACTCAATGCTGCTTTAAGGGGGGACTTGGGTTTGTCCTGCTTGTGAACTAGACTTGCTTCCTCTGGAGACATTGTCAATTCTGGTGCTATGTGTCGTCGTTTTCTTGGACTGGCCTTTCTTGAAGGTTTCTTTTTTCGGCAACATTTTTCTCTCGACAAGTTTTCATGTGAACTTGAAACAGAGCCAGACTTTTCAGGGTGCACATTTTCATCTTTGGCAGCATGGTTCATATTCAACACAAATTTCCTTGTATGTTGCTGGGCTACGTAGATTCCTAGAACCTTCGGATGGCACCTGTAAGTTACAAGAAATCTAAACTTTGAAACAAACATTTTTCTCTCTGTGCTTATGCAAATGACACCTGTCTGAAGTAATTCCAAATTCCTTAGCTTCTTCTTAATATAAGCATGATATTAGAGGACCAATTCATTGTTTACATGACAGTGTTCACAGTGAGAAGGTGTACACCCAGTGTCAAGTGTCTTCTGGTACTCCAAATGTACCCGAAACTATGTAAGTCCAGTCGTGTCTAATTATAAACACCATGTGCTCATCACGCTTTGGGCGATGTCATCACAACCAGAAAGGTTATTGGCCTGCGATCGACTCACAGAAGTGAGGGTTATTCTCCAACACTGGGAAATCCTGTTTCTAAACAATCATAATGATGTGTCTGCGACCACGGCTGACATAAAGTAATACACCCCAGACTAACACTAGTGTTTCCTACAACTAGGCGCCCATGTGTATCGTATGCCGTTATATATTGACCCGAAGCTATACTGTCACTCCATGATCATGCAATGACTGAATGTCAAGGCCATTTGAGGATTTCCGCATAAACTTTTGACCGAAGCGAAGGAAGATAATGAGCAGTTCGTCTACGCATTGTAAACATGGGTTGTATTCAACGATTACCTGATTCCAATGTACATGTGACTTTATTCATGAGAATAGTGTCACACTATTGAGAGATTTATCCTTGAACAGGACACCATACACGCAGGCATCACGAACTTCACTGCCATTTATCCGTGACGTCATTAAGGGGCCATAACTCTGTAATGTTCATTGTGTAGTGTTCGAGTGTTTGACCCATGCGGACACGCGGGTTGGAGTCTCTCTCAACTTCACTCCGTGCCTGAAAATTATGAGGTTGATATTTGATTGCAAAAGGTTTTTTATTAAGCATTCAAGGTTATGAGAAATGGAGTAGTGGAGTAATATCATAAGCGAATCAAGTTCACGAGTTCTTCACTGTGTCGCATCACATGTGTTATGTATGTATGTATGTATGTATGTATGTATGTATACACTATCAAATACAAGGAGCAATTTGATATCAGAGAAAGGATATTTATTTAACAATGTTAGAACTTTAGTCTGTCAATATCAAATAGGTTTAGTTACTTACAGAACAAGTGACAAGGAGCAATAAGACCTGTAACAGTGCATTCCCAAATAAAATCTAGCCACTGATAAGCCTGGCAGTAAATTCAAGTCGAAGTTTCATATTTGACAATGAATAAGAAAAGGGTATAGCTTTCTAAATAGAAAATTAAGTTAGCCTTGATGATATTTTCACTACCCAGAGACAATATAAAATAGCCACGGGCTACACGACAGGCGCTTATTTTTCACACAAAATCGACAACATTTTATATATCTTCAGATTTTATCTAAGAGCAATGTTCTCTATAACATGGAACGTCCGCAACAGTTCGATTATTACACACGCACACACACACGCACGCACACACACGCACACGCACAAACACACACACACACACACACACACACACACATATATATAAGCGGTTCTTGAATATTGTACCAGATGGGCGTTCGCTTCGTCCACTTGTGCAAGTGAAGAATAGACTACCGTATTTCCTCTATTAGACGCCCGGGCTTCTATTTATTTCGGACAAGCCTTTGACCCGGCGTCAATTAGAGGCCCGGCGTCTATTGGAGGCCCGGCTTCTATTAATACCCTCATTTCACTATGACCACGAATTTAGGTCCCAAAAAGGGATAATTAATTGTATCAATTGATCGACCCGGCGTCTATTAGAGGCCCGGCTTCTATTTTTTGCACTGAACAATTGACCCGGCTTCTAATTGAGGCCCGGCGTCTAATAGAGGAAATACGGTATACTTGTTGCATAGCGACTGACTAGGCCTGAAGCCCACCTGGACACAAAATGGAAGCTTGTTCATTGGATCTCCCAAGGTCATGAAAGGCGGGAGGGACATTCGTGGCCAATTCATTCCGGACTAGGTTATTCAAAAAGGTCGAGTTCAGGCGCTTGCAAGCAGGGGATATTGACAAGGCATATATATACAACCCCCCTGGATAACATTTGTTTGTTTGTTGTTTGACGCAGCACTCACTAATATTCCAGCTATATTTCGGCAGTCTGTATATAATCGGGTCTGGACTAGACAATTCAGTGATTGACATCATGAGCATCTACCCACGCAATTGGGATACGATGACATGCATGAACCAAGTCAGGGATCCTGACCACTCGATCGCGTTAGTCGCCTCTTACGACAAGCATAATCGCTTCTTATGACAAGCATGGGTTGCTAAAGACCAATTCTAACCGGATCTTCACGGGTGATTAAAGTGTTCGGTCGTCACACCGATGGCCCGAGTTCGATTCCCCAAATGGGTACAATGTATGAAGCCCAATTCTGGTGTCCCCCCGCCGTGATATTGCTGGAATATTTCTAAACGTGGCGTAAAACAATTAAAGAAGTACCACCCGTCTCCTTCATCACACATATCTTCCATTCTATCCTATCACTCCTTGCGTGAAAAAAATACAACAAATATATTTTGAAACATTGAAAGATTGGCATCCGTGTATCAAAATGCGTTCAAACAACGTCCAATTGCCCAAGGCAAGGGAGTTTCCGGAAACTGGACTTTTACAGTCGATTAACTCCCTTGCCTCGGGAAGATGATCAACGTCTTGACCTCGACTGAAGTTGGCTACCAGAATGTGTAACTTGGGTGTACCTAAGACATTCTTCCTGTGTGACGACAAACTATTAGATTGATATACATAATACATCACCCCAGCCTCCCTTAAATCATGAACGTCAGTGGGTCAGGAAACCAGGCTGCCGTGGTCTACTACCTAGGTCTAGGTCACAGATACGGGGATATTTATCAACATTCTTGAGGGTGTCATGCAAGTTAGCATTCGTCACCACTCGCCCCTTTCCGTAACCTGCAAGAAGACTCTTCCACCATCGATGAATGAACATATGACAAACCAATCAGAATGCGCGTACTTAAGTCAAAGATTCCCCAGAAATATTTATTTTATTTTAATATGTCATGCATTTCAAAATATACCCAAAATACAGTTTAATGTGTTCAATCATGCTGTAAGTCCCGATGTGTTCAATAGCGTCTGGAATATATATGATATAAAGGGGAATATAAATGAATCATTACACAACGAGTTGACAATTTGCGCTTAGACGGAACCCAGTCGCAAAAATGGCCCCATGAGGGCCACGAGTCGCTATTCAGCTTGTCCCGGAATAACACAAGTTGGTGACGAATGGCAAGTTGGTGCCACCCGGACTCTGGAGTAAAGTAAAACGAGTTGTGGGGTAAACAGGCAATTATAGAGAACGAATCATGGGGTAATGGAGACCTTGACATCGACCTTGACGGATAAATAAGACTTTGAAAAAGCCAGATAAGATATGTGAGTGAGTGAGTTGAGTTCAACGCCGCTTTTAACAGTATTCCAGGGATCAGGGCGTCTCAGCTTAAAGGGGGAGGAATGCCCGATGTGGTGCAGGTCACAGACGTTTAACACTTTGGTGAAACCCACGAGCACGGCTATGGTGCTGACTAACCCAGAAACATAATCGGTGCGAACCGGGATACGAACCAACGATAACAGGTTTGTTATGAGTGAATTTGGATATTAATTAACCTCTACTTTCATCAGTATTTTCGTAACATAGCGTGTATGCTTAATCTTAGACTTGCACAAGTCTCCAAGGCAAGTTCTAGATTATGTAAATAATAAGAAAAAGTTGTCCCTGTAAGAGACTTGAGTGCTTACTGTCTAAATATCTAGACTTGCCGATAAGGAGGATAGAATTACTACACATCCGTGGATTTTTCTTTCAGTACAGCCTTTGAGCAAGGCTAGCTTAATATGTGTGGACAGCACAATGCGACATGGATCCCAGACGTCACGATAATGAATCTGAGACTCCAACCAACGATCAGCGGATCCCGACACGCTTACAGGGCGTAAATTTTGTATTTTGTGTGAGCTTTACTCCATAATTTCTTCAGTTGGGATTTATCAGGGGCGGGTCACCATTATATAATAGGGAGAGTCGTGAGAAAATGTACAAGGATGGGGAGGGTCATCCAAAATTATTTTCAGTACGTTAGTGCATCGAAAACCTCTGAAAACACGATTTGAGTTTCATCAAAGTGATGCCTGCATCTTTTCGGGCTTTCCTCCCATATAAGCTGACACGCCGTGATGTACATGGGAATACTGTTCAAAGCGGCGTTAAACGTTAAACCCAACTCACTCACCCACTCCTTGTAACACATGGCCAGCCCAAACTCAGCATGGTCAATAGTGGCATAGAAGCTTTTGAAAACAACATGGACAATATTGCGTGTCATCATCTTGCGCTCTCGCTGCCTTCACTACCACCCAGATTGCCAGTTCAAGCCTCGCTTACTTTGTCAACATGAAACTGTAAGTTTGCCTTCTTCGACGTAAATCAATGTTCAGACATTCACTCATTCACTGCATCGTTGAAGATATTAGGGTCGCTTCCTGGACCTAAGTCCATATGTATATCAAACGGTTGACCGAGTTCTCTCCCTTGGACTATCGTATCACGCTGTTGTTCACAAGGCAACCGACTTTAAGGCATCTTAATTGGGATTTTGTAATGCCTGACCTAGTATAAAACTCTCTAACATAGAGCATGGAGAAGATATACTTCAAAGGAGTTCCTGTATCTTGATAGAATACTTTCGATATTTGAGAACAAGTATCATGATTCCCTGTAGAAACGAGAGGACAAAACGATGACCCTCCCCAGAGTCATGTCATGTTTTGGTGAACCGCCTGAACTGCTGGACCATATTGCCATGTCATATATAGGACGCAATGTTGCCAAAGTGGTTTCTTATTATGAAAAACACACAAGTGTTATCACTGTTTGACAGAAAAATGAGAGTTTAATTCAAATTACGTTTTTGTTACAAACAACCTTGCTCCTGGAGCTGTTTTTTTAACCCCTCTGACTTCTTCCGACCACCCATCCCGCACCCCACAGTGATGACACAGGGGTAGATCGACTTTGTAGCCAATAGTAACATGTACATTTCCATCTCATGCGTCTCGACTGTCATACTTTTCATAGTAGATAAAGTGGATAATTTTCTTAACTCGGGAATCGCCGATTTAGGGCTTCATTTACTAAAAAAGATGACAGAGTGTTCTGTCGATGAAGTATTATTGTCTACGACGAAGTATGTTGTCTTTAACGTAAGGCCATTCACCAAGCGCTTCCTTTGACACTGTTGGTTAAAGCGGCAGTAAAATATATGTACAACGCCTGCTCGGAGAGATCCCTTAGCACTTGCAACAACAGTCTCACTTTGTACGTTTTCGCACACCCACAAGGATCCGGCTTAGAATCGGTCTTCAGCAACCCATGCTTGTCGTAAGAGACGACTAACGGGATAGGGTGGTCAGGCTCGCTGACTTGGTTGATGCATGTCATCGTATCCCAATCGCAGAGATAACGATCATGATGTCAATGACTGGATTGTGAAGTCCAGACTCGATTATTTACAGACCGCCGTCATACAGCTGATATATTGCTGAGTGCGGCGTAGAACAACAACAAAAAAGAAACAACACGTTTTCGCAAAGTGAAATAGACTTTCATGAACTTAAAATAAAAAATATGCAGAAACAAATCCTCTAATTTTTTTTAAAGTAATTTGTTGTTTTTTACTAAAGCATTTACCCGGTTTTGCATAGGAAAATATAAGA